ATACACACAGCTCTACAGGCAAGTGCCTTAGTTTTATGATAAAGATGGTAGCCACTTGTGACTATTTGACTGCCTTCCTAGAATGGTCATCGGCAAACGCCGACGCTTGATTTTCCCAATCAATGATCCACGTCTCTCTTCCTCAACCATCATACATCCCCAGCAACGACGACAATCCAGCGTCATCCGATGGCGACAACATTGTCTGCGCAAAGTGAGTCCCCATCCCCACCCTTTCCATCCCACCCCAACCTAGCTCATCTGACCACCAACAGATGATGATGACATGCACTGACGGCCCACCACGCCCACCACCCACAAACGGCCACGACAGCCCACCGACCCACGATGACACAACATGATGACGTGTCAACGACATGCGACGCAGACAGCATGACGACATGATGATGATGACACGATGACACAACAACAACAACATGATGACGTGTCGACGACACACGACATGGACAACACAACAACAAGGGGGAGAACAGCTGATGATGCCCACCAGCAGCCATAAATGGTGACAACGGCCCACGCAGTGATGCAACAACGACGACAACTGCATGACGACCCACCACCACCACCATTAAGGGCAACAATGGCCCACCACGCCCACTGTGACAATGACAATGACACGACACGACAACGTGACAACGATGTGCGACAACGCCAACACCCAGCACCACCCATGACACGTGACGCCGACAACGATGACATGACATGACACGACGACACGTCAACAACGTGCGACAACACCAACACGGAATAACAACGGACGAGGGCCCAACACCACCACACGTGAACGGCGACAAGGGCCCAGCACCACCACTCCCTCCCCAATACTTATCACTCCTCCACCTATTCCTACTGGATTTCAACATTCTTTCCAAAAAAGCATTTTCACATTCCCCTCCTACTGGACCCCTACTGGACTCCTACTGGACTCCAATTGAACTTAAACAAAGTGAATGCAATGTTTCAGAGATGGGATTCCTACTAGAGTAACCACTTTCTATCTCAATATTTTATGAAGTCAGACCTTAGGCCACCTTAGAAGTTCAGATAAAAAATATTATATTGATAACTATAGACATAATTATATACAAAAAGTATTTTACTAATCTAATGTGGTCAGGGAGGGAGAGGACAGGGAAGGGGGTAGAAGGAAATGGGGGTGGACAGGGAAGGGACAGGCAAAAGGAAGGGGGAAGGGGGTAGGGACAGGGAAAAGGAAGGGGGAAGGGACAGGGAAAAGGAAGGGGGAAGGGACAGGGAAAAGGAAGGGGGGGACAGGGGGAGGGGAAAGGAAAGGGGTACATGGAAATGGGAAGGGAAAGGGAAGGGGGGAGGGAAAGGGGACAGAGAAGGGGGAGGGAAAATGCTTGCTGTCGTGGGCGCTCATCGGCGTGGGCCCTCGACGTCTTCATGTCATCGTCGTCATGTAATGGTGGGTGTTCGTCGTGGTGGGCGCTTCGTGTTGTTGTTGTCGTGTAATGGTGGGTGCTCGTCGTCTTTCGGCGTGGGTGCTCGGCATTGTCGTGTATTGGTGGGTGGTCGACATGGTGGGCACTCGACGTGGTGGGTGCTCGTCGTCTTCGTGTTGTTGTTGTGGTGTGATGGTGGCGTCATGGGCGCTCGTCGTCATCATGTCATGGTGTTTGTTAGTGAGGTGGATTAGGATGGAAGAGGGGGGGGGACTCACTTTGTATAACGATGAACGACGACATTGTCGTCGTTCATCGTTTGGTTGCCACGTCGCTATTAGCAACGTGGCACGTCTGTTGACATGGCTGTGGGGGCGACGTGGTCATCCCTCGTCGTCCGTTTTCATCGCCTCGGCCTCGCCAGGGGCTCGTTTGTTCATGACGTGGCGTTCTCGCGTCGTTCTTGATGCTGGTGGTGGCCATGGGTGATCGTGGTGACGTGGCGTTGGCCAGTGGGCATCGTGGATGGCGTACGGTGGCGGCTATGGGCGGTTGTGAGTGGTGGCGGCGACTGGTGGTGGTGACGAGGCGGCACGGGTGTGGGTGGTGGTGAGAAGAGAGAGGTTTTGGGTTGTTGATTACCATTGGTGCGAAATTCTCACTCGCGGAATTTGCTGATATCCTTTCTAGGAAAGTGGGCGGCCAGTTGGTATGTAGAGCATATATTATGTATGTATAGTAAAGCTGTTGTGGTGCAGCTGGTTAAGCACTACTACTGTACCTGTGCCCAAGAAGTCAAGGGTTCAATTCCATCAGCTTGCGCTTTTTTTTACATTATATAATAATAACAACAACAGTGACAAACTACTCCTTGTACCTGGACATTCCTACTGGACTCCTACTGGACTCCACTATACCCATTCCTTAGGAATCCGCAATTCCTTGTGATTTGGGACCATTCCAGTAGGAATTTACTAGGACTCCACTAGGACTGGGACACAAAATTTGTATGGTGATCAGCCAACATGAAATTTGTCCCAGTCCTAGTCCAGTCCGGTAGGATTCCAGGAGTCCAGTAGGAGTCCAGTAGAAATAGGTGGAGGAGTGTAAAGAGCTCCACGATGGTCAGTCCCTCTCTCCTCTCATTCCATCAAAAACTCGCTTCATACTTACTATCATTCTTACTTAGCCTCGCCAGGATGATCCACAAAATTGGGCTCCTACCAGTATGCAACCACCAACAAGTCCCATTCATGTACAAGATGTACACGCGCCCTGACGAATTGGGTTGGAAACAATCAAACACGTTCAAGAGGGCTTTTTATATTGATGTTGATATTGAGTTCATTGGGGTTTGGTATGTCCTTCCTTCACACCCCTCTTACTTTCATCTTTCTCACCCTTCTTCTATTCACAGGGACACAGTCAACTCCGTAGGCCTAATCCTGCGCCGCCTCCCATTCACAACCTCAAACACCATCGTCCGTACATTCCGACACGCCATCTCCCTAGACGGACACCACACAAAGTTTAAAGCGAATTTATGGAACCGGCCCAATGATGATGAAAAGACTCTTAGTGTGATGGATCAGCATGTTGGGCTGATTAAACAAAAGGCTGGGCCGCATCCTAGTAAATCTAGGTTGCATGCGCTTGAGAGGCAGTATGGTGTCGAGAGGCTAAAGGTGACGGATATTGATGAGGTGCATTTCTTCACTTGCATCAGAGAGAGGAGTGCTCAGATGTGTACATAGGTTTGGTTCGCGGGATGCCATTGTGGTGCATATTCTTTACTTATCTATTACTCCCGATGCTCAATGTTCAATGATACCTGGCAGACGTGGGTGGCGGTTCTGGTACGTAACCCAACCCACCTCCTCAATCCGTTTGTCAACTAACATACACCATACCCCAGTCGCAAACAGCACCAAACCCGTCCTAGTATGCATCCCCCTGCAGTGGATGATCTGCGAAACCTTCAAACACAAAACAGGAATAATGTACCACACCGACAGACTCAAACTCATCGGGCTTTCCCCCTCCTCGCTCTACCCCATCGTCTTACCATGCCCACCAGCCCTCCCAGTCCCTTCTTCCCTCTTCCTCCTCCCCATCCCCAAAGTACCACTAAGTGTTGTGTGATGGATAGGATTTGTACAGGAACAACGCAGACTCATCAAAACTGTTCCTTCCTCTGAGGTCTTTACCTTCCCTGGGTTATTCCATATGGAATCCATGAAATCAATGTTGGCTGGGGACCCAGCCAATTTCTTATTCCATAGACATCATGGATTCCATATGGAATGATGATGGAATGGTCATGGAATGATTAATTCCATATGGACTCCAACACCACTCCATATGGATTCCATGGAGTAGTCCATATTGTCGGAAAAATCCAACATGCCTTATAATCCAAACAGGTTACAATTCCGTCAGGTGTTATTGTAACCACAGTGTAAGCACTGAAAATAATTATGTGAGCAAGATAAGATCAACATTGTGTTGTAAGATACTGCAGCGCTACCATAACTGCGATGTCTCTGTCTGTGCCTATTGTGGGCAGACTTTCAAATCAAAAGGTCTGACGCAACATCAAAAATTTTGCAAATCACATCTGATTGGGGCTTCCTCACAAGAGTTTGAGGAATGAGTAAGGACTGAGGGGCTATTGGGTGAGTACACCATGATTCATATTGCCTAAATTGCCTATCTCATTCACGCAGGCCCTTCCACTCCTATAATTGGGTCTGATGATGGTCGGCACATCATTGGTATGATAATTCTTATTGATCTCTGGATTGTGCCAAATCAGCTCAGATCTAGGGTATGATACAAGTCGCTTGCAGGCTGAATATGTGGAGTACGGTATGTACACTATGCTAATGCATGGATCATATGTTTGATGATGGCAGAACACAATGCGACAGGAGCAACGGAACCTGAAGGGGACGCCTCCCATGATGTTGATCATGCATCACCATCCATGCATGAGAATAGCACCATTGAGGATATTGTGCCACTTGAAGGTGCAAATGACCAGAGGGGGCTACCTGATTCAATTGAGAGGCCTCCTCAGCTTGATGACATCAAAGTGGAATACCACCCCAGGAGTGGGCACCCATCTCAGCTTTTTCAATTCCACGAGTACATGAACCAGCTTCCAGGATCTAAAAATGTTGACATTCCACCTGACCTGGAACCATGGAAACCTTTCCGTTCATGGCTTGATTTTGAACTGGCTGAATTAATCTTGGATACTCACATGAATAAGAACCAAACTAATGCCCTTATCACTCTGATTCATCAATGTATATCTGAGCCACAATCCTTTATGCTCAAGAATGAATCTGACCTCAGCAAGATTTGGCAGAATGCTGCTATTAGGGCAACAGCTGTAAGTATATTGTATTTGGCTACAATGTTCATCTAATTAATGCAATTTGACTTGGATAGTTTGAAAAAACGACAATTAAAGTGGAGTATGGTGATGAAGAAAAGCCTTTTGATGTCTGGACTTGTCCATTGTGGGATTGGGCTCAGGAACTCCTCCATGACCCCCATCTTGCAAAAGAATTTCATTGGGATGCTGAATGGCATTATTGGTCAAAAATTTGAGCAGTTTATAGATGAACCTTGGACAGCTGATGCATGGTGGGAGATTCAGGTGAGTATAAATTTGTATTAATTATACACTGGTAGTGGTTACTAATGGGTACTGAACAGTCATCTCTTCCACCAGGTGCAGTTCCCTTCTTTATTATGGTTTATGCAGATAAGAATAGGTTATCATCCTTTGGAACTGCCAAAGGCTATCCAGCAATTGCAGTTTGTGCCCACCTTCGAGGTCTTATCAGTGCCCCCCTAATTCCTGCAGGATTCCGGTCATTCCTGCGGATTCCGGTGGATTCCGGAGGAATGAAATTTAGCAGGGAGGCCTGCTATTTTCTTCATTCCGGTGCTTTACCATTCCAGCGGAATTTCGGCATTCCGGAATTGTGACCGGAATGGTCCCCAGTCTGGCAAAAACACAATGTGCAACCAGAATCCGGTTTGTTTGGCACAAGCCCATTGCCAAACAATTGTTTGTTTGGCAACGGCTTTCACGCTCGTCCAAATACAACCCTCTCTCCTCCCACCACCACCAACCTCTCCTCCCACCACCACCAACCTCTCCTCCCACCACCACCAACATCCCCACTCCTCGTTAACATGCGCCTGCTACCCACCCACACCATGTCACCATGGTCACCTGTGGCCACCACTGCCCACAAACATCGTCAACTGCCAACAACAACCACATCAACAACAACACGGCAACGCCATGTCAGCAAGCAAACAAGCCCCGGCGAGGTCGAGGCGACGAAAACAGACCATGAGGGATGACCACAACCACCATGACCACGCCCATGGACCACGACACGCCCCACAACATCAACGGACGGCCACATCAACAGATGCCAATGCCAACGACAACATGCACCACCACGTCAACAGACGACAACCATGGCAATGGACACCCACATCAACGGACCACCACCACGTCAATGGACGATGACCATGCCAGAAGACGCCCACGTCAATGCACCACCACCACGTGAATGCACGACGACCATGCAAATGGAAGCCCACGTCAATGCACGATGACGTGCCCCCAATGATGGGAAACCAAGGTGCCACGTCGCTGTCAGCAAAGTGGCAACCAAATGACGAACGATGACATCGTTGTCATCGTTCGTCGTTCACACAAAGGTGAGTCCCCTGACTCTCCTTCATCCTATCCCATCTCGCTAACAGCCACCACAACATGACACAACGACAACGAGTGCATTGTCCCTCCCCCCTTCCCTGTCCCTCCCCATTTCCATGTACCCCCATTCCCTGTCCCTCCCCATTTCCATGTCCCCCATTTCCATGTACCCCCTTCCTTTTCCCTCCCCCCTTTCCTGTCTGTCCCTCCCCATTTCCTTGTCCTTACCCCCTTCCCCATTTCATTGTCCCTGCCCCCTTCCTTTTCCCTGCCCCCTTGTCCCTCCCCATTTCCTTATACCCCTTCCCTATTCTGAGTATTGAGGAGTTGCATCAATGCAGATTAAGTCACCTGACCTCTAGCTCAGTGCTGATCCATTCTGATTGTAGAAACTCTGATCAGTGCTGATCAGAGCATATGGGGGAGGGTAAAGTACTGCTATTTATGGTGGATTGTGGTCTTGTTCAACTGGAATCCACTGGAATCCGCTGGACTCCAGTGGATTCCGCTGGACTCTGGTGGATTCCACTGGATTCCGGTCCCATTCCACCCAAGTCCTGTCCCATTCCACCAGAGTCCTGTCCCATTCCACCGGATTCCGCTGGAATGACCAGAGTCTGACGGGAATAGGTAGGGCACAGTAAAGTACTGCCACCTTCCAATACTGATAAGGAATGGGGAAAGGCATGGTAAAAGGGTTTGTGTTGGATGGTTTCCAATTGTGAGTATATCGTTTTCCAATTGTAAGACATGCTACTTTGTAGATTATGCTGAATCCTGATTTGTTTCCTAGGTACAGGAAGATGCAGGTGAAACTGGGAAGAAGAAATTTGTGAACTTCAAAAGAGTTGTTTGGCACAAGGCCTTTTATGAAATTCTGAAGTCAATTGAGCAATATGCACAAACAGGCTACCATCTAACAGCTGCCGATATTGAGTGCTGGATGTTCCTGATAGTGCTTATTGCATCTGCAGATTATGAAGAACCACTTCAGTCACCCAGTGCCAACTGACTATTAGTCATGCAAACTCCACGTAAGTTACATGACTAAATGTCATGGACCATATCTATATTCTAGATATATATGGGTCCTAGAAAGCCCTGAAATCTAAAAAATATTTTTGACACATGGACCCTGAAATGTCACACAAAAATTATAATGTCTGTGTCACACCACCAAAATATATTTTGCAAGTGAAATGCAGTAAGGATATATTTTTGGTGAGTGGACCCTGAAATGTCACTGTCACACCTTACAAATATATTTTTGCCCTGGCTTGGCCTTAGGATATATTTTGTGATACAGATGTGGTAAGGATATATTTTTCTGGTCTGTAGTGGTGTCAGGGGTCTTAGTTTTAGCAAAAAAACTTGTGATTTTTTGCTGTCTGGGGTATATATTCTGGAAGATTCTGCAATGACTTCCAGGGGTTTTGGCACTATGTCTAGCTGTGCTCCCAGTATGTATGTAGCAATAAGGGGCATCAATAGCATCTGTGATATACCTGAGTTGCTTAAGTATCATCCACTTCCAATCACACTATGAATACAGTTCGCATTACAGATTCATTCATTCTCCTTCAACAATTTTGGGCCTCAATGACATGTATGATTCACCTTGAAGCTATTCAGTCCAAGATTCCTGAGTTGCTTAAGTACTATCCACTTTGACACTATAGATACAGTTCGCACTATGGAATTTTTTAGCTGCTTAGAAATCCCCTCCACTTCTGCCTCTACTTCAGCTCCAAGATCTCCATTTGCACCTTATCTGCATACCCCACCCACATCTGTATTACTATCCCCTGCCAGACAAACTCCTGCATGTGATATCAAAATGTTGTCCAATCCAGTTTCAAAAACCAGAGTTCACAAAGTTCTTTGTTTCACTCTCCAATTGCACCTTATCTGCATGCCCCACCTACATCTGTATTAGTCAAACCTCTGCATGTGATATCAAACATCTTTCCCAACCTACTTTCAAAAACCAGAGTTCACAAAGTTCTTTGCTCTTTCTCTTTTTCTCTCTCCAGTTGCACCTGATCTGCATACCTCACCCACATCTGTATTACCATCCCCTGCCAGTCAAACCCCTGCATGTGATATCAAACATCTCTCCCACCCCACTTTCACAGACAAGAGTTCACCAAGTTCTTTGTTGTTTCTCTCCTTCTCTTCCTCTCTCCCTGTTTTCCTCTTCAGAGAGGGGGAGGGGGAGGGGTTTGGTGGGCAATAGGGAGAGGGGAAAGGGCTGGTAGGCAATGATAGAGGGGGGGGGGGAAGAGGTTCTAGGCAATGGGGGAGGGGATGAGGGGGTTATAGGCAATGAGGGAGGGGTGCCAGGCAATAAGAGAGAGGGGGAGGGAGTGCTGCAATGAGGGAGAGGGGGAGTGGTGTGCAGTGGGAGGGAGTGAGAGAGAGGGAGAGGGGGAATGGGAGAGGGAGTGAGAGAATGGGAGAGGGAGTGAGGGAATGGAGGGGTAGGGAGTGATGGAGGAGGGAGGGAGTGATGGGGAGAGGGGGAGGGGTAAGGAGTGATGGAGGGGGGAGCTCCCCTGGGCTCGTCATTGCTTGTGTCCGTTCAGGCAGTCATTTTTGTTGGTGGGCGGTCGCCTTTGTTTGTGGGCAGTTGTCAATGTTTGTGGGCGGGTCGCCCTCGTCTCATTGGTGGGCACTCGTGGACATTTGCAGGGTGGTCATATTTGTTTGTGGACATTGGTGGGAGCTTGTGGTCATTGGTGGGCGCTCATGGTCGTTGGTGGGTGCTTGCGGTTGTTGGTGGTCATCCGTGAGTGTTCGTCTTCGTCCATGGTCCACCACCCACACCTTCATCCATTGTTGTCTTCATTTTTAGGGCAGTCATTGTGGTCTGCCAGGTGAAACAAAGACGACCAATGACGACTGATGTTGTCATTCGTCATCCGGTTGCCACATCGCAGCTAGCGACGTGGCACCTCATTGGTATCAGAAGGGAAAAAGCTGGGGTGGTGACTGCTTACCAGGCTGGGTACGGCACAACCTCGTCACCGTCGTCCTCGCCTGCCGTCGATCTCCTTCAATGTCGTGTGTTTGCTGGGGGTTGGTGATGTGGCGCTGCTGTGTCATTCTTGTGGTGCCGGGGTGGTTGTAGTTGTTCCGTGACAATGTTGTGTGTCGTTGTGCGCCATCAGCATCCTTGTTGCATTGGGGTGGGTGCACCATGGGCATGTGCGTCGACTTTCGTGGGTGCTGGTCATTGATTTTTGTGGGTGGTGGCCATTTGTGTGTTGTTTGTTGGGTGGTCATTGTCAGTTTGGGCAGCCAGGGTTCTTTGCAGTGGTGGGTTGCGTGACCTGGCATGACAGTGACATGGTGGTGAGGTGGAGTTGTTGGTGTTGACAGAGTGGTGGTGAAGTTGTGGGTTGAAGAGAAAAGGAATGTCACAGAGTCCCAACAGATGAACAATGTCACAGAGTCACACTCTGTGATGTTGTTCATTTGTAGATGTAGACGTTGAAGTTCAAGATCACACTCTGATCACGCTCACTAAGATTCTGAGACTACAAAAGTTTGTAGTCTCAAAAAGCCAATACTTTACCCTCCCCGGGTTATTCCATATGGACTGCATGGAATGGGAGGTGGATTCCAGGAATGTCAGATGGATTCCATGGAATGTCAGATGGATTCCATACTTCTCCCAGATGGATTCCATGGAATGTCAGATGGAGTCCATGCTTTTTCTAGATGGATTCCATGGAATGTCAGATGGAGTCCATGCTTTTTCTAGATGGATTCCATGCTTTGGCTGATGGACTCCATGCTTTTTCCAGATGGATTCCATGCTTTGGCTGATGGACTCCATGCTTTTTCCAGATGGATTCCATGCTTTGGCTGATGGAATCCATGCTTTTTCCAGATGGATTCCATGCTTTGGCTGATGGATTCCATGCTTTTTCCAGATGGATTCCATGCTTTTCCAGATGGATTCCATGCTTTTTCCAGATGGATTCCATACTTTTCCAGATGGATTCCATACTTTTCCAGGCTTTTGGTGGGTGGATTCCATGGAATCTCCAGATGGATTCCATATGGAATGAGTTCATGGAATCATAATTTTACACTTATAGTATACCATTTTCAGGGTGGAATCCATATGGAATAACTCTATAGAATAAAATTCTTACACTTAAAAATAGTCTGTTGTTGAATTGATTGACATAATACAAAAATATGACCTTTTATCTACTAATCAATTATCATCACTACCAGCATCATCATCACTATCATCACCATCACCATTGTCTCCTTTTTTCATCTTTTCTTCTCTCTTTTTTATCTTCTCAAGAACATATTGGGTATGGTAAAATAACATTGCATGCAAAAACCAATTGAAATTGTCAACAGTCATCCTTTTCAAGATAGAGTCAAATCCCCCAAGCCACCCATTCAATTGTTCACATGCTTGAGTATTAAATGCTCGTTTCAAATATTTTTCCCCGTCTTTGGTCTCTGCTTCAATAACCAAATTAGGTGCTGACCCATCAAGAGGAGCAGGGTTGCAATATTTTCAGCAGATCATATCTGTAGTGCGATGATTGATGTAATGATATGCATTGACCATAAGTCGGCTAGTCTTGCACCATTCATCCCAGCTTCCATTTTGAATGCTTGTTCTAAGAACCAGACATGCCTTATCAATGCATATATAATCAGGTCTTGTACTTTCATCTGGAAATGTATCTTCCATAAACTTTAAGATGTTTGTTGGTGACTCAGATTTTGAAAACTTGACCCATGCAATGACAACACCACAAGGTGCACAAATTGTTTCCACACAATAATAGCATTGAGGACTGAAATAATTTTTATTTTCTAATTCAGGAGCCTCTTCATCATGGGGTTGAACATTTCTGGGAACTTCTGAATTCCATGCAAGATGTTCATTTGGTCGATTTAGCATTCGTCGTACTCCAGCCAAACTTGACTTTGTTCGAGACTGTCTATAGCGATGCCAGTCATTGCGATGTTCATGACAAGCTTGAGTTCCTTCAACCTTGTTATTTTGACAATCACGAACATGACAACGGTTACGAAATTCTCTTTCATGGATCTGACAAAATGATTCTCCTTTTCCACGAGCATTCAAAAGTGGTTTTGTACAATTATCAAATGCACAGTGAGTTGGTCCCATAACAATGCCATCCATTACAACCATGTTCACCATGGCTGGTTGGTTTGCAATATCGACATCCATTGGGTCATCTGGTCCTGCTAAATTCTGGAGTTCATCAGCAGCTGCAGCATCTAATTGAGGTACAGCTTGATTTTCATCAACACCAAGGACAGCTGCTGCATCATTGGCAACAGGTAGAAAATCTGCAACTGCCTTGCGTTCTTGAGTACACTCAGAGCAAGTATGTTTGTCAGACAGCCTCATAGCACCACCTTCACCAAGAATAGCAAATGCATCATGAGTGAGATCATCAATTGATGGATTATCATTGGTTTCAAACATGACCCCTGAAGCTTGAGCAATGGTACGAACTGTTTCATGAACAAATGCCTGCCAAATCTGATGCCTTTCAATTTTAAATGACTCTTGTTTTCCATAGCTGTTGGTCCAGAATTCAGCATAAGCTGCAACTGATGCATGAAAGCTGTATGTTCCATTAACAACAGCATTTGAAAATGGCCTGTCAACATATAGAGATTTTCCAAGTTTCAGATATTTTGCATCATTGAGGTATACCCGTCTCCGAGGACCTCTGACTTGAGGATAATTTTCATGATCAGCGAAATAGTGAGTTTTGCAATTAGAACATTTTCCATTCAGAACAACAACCTCTTTAAAAATTTCAGAACCTTTAATAAGAGTTGTTGTGGCAAGCTCATTAGGATCTGAATGTTGCAAAATGGCACAGCCTCAACATTTCATATCAGAACAAACATTTGATGATGGGCAAATTATCATGATTGCCTGAATTTCCTTTTTTGAAATTGGCTGCAGTCTTTGAATTAGCTTTCCATCACTCCCATAGGAATTGAGAGTCAATAAATCAGCAAAGTCGTTAAGTTTTGTTCCAATGTTGGTTATAATTTGATTTTCAGGCATTGACATCCAATTTTCTGAGCGTTTGAACAAAGTTTTGAGTTTTGGTTTTGGAGTCTGCTTTTTGACCTCATGAGCCAGTGATTTTATCCATGAGCCCAAATGAACCCGGTTTTCATCTGAAAGTTGGGGATTTTGCTGGCGTCGGTGCAAGTTCAATAAATCTGTATTTTCGACCATAGTAAACAATAGCATCAACACAGTTGCAAGTGTGATTTTTGAGCTGAAGTTTTGTGCAATAAATTCATTGAACACTTTGAATGAAACATCTGGAAATGCTTGTTGATTTTGCATAGCATTGGCACCAGGGCACAAAAACAGCAGGATCATAAAGGGGCTGAGCATTTGTAGAATCATAAACAAGTGCAAAATTGAAACAGTTATGCAGAGAGTTGGAAGCCTCTGGAATACTTGATCACTGAAAAAAAATGAGCACCAGTCAACATATTGATACAAATACAACAAAAAAATCAAACAAGTCCAAAGTCCAAAGTCTACCTACCCACTAGCAGTGACCTTCTTCTTCTTATGACTCTTCTTCCTATTATCAGCCTGCTCAGACTCTACTTCTTTCTGCTTCACTCCTTTCTGATTTCCTTTGCCAGCCCCAGCCCCTGACCCAGACCCTTGAGTCTTTTCCTTCTCCTTTAGACCCTTTGCATATTTGGCAGTGGATTTCGTCACTGACTTGGCTACTTTCTTGCCTTTCTGCTTCTTGAGCCATTCTACCAAGTCCGTGATAGAGTATTTAGACTTTGTCACACCCCAAAGATCAAGATCTGATTTGGCATCAGGATCACCCTCCAACCAGGCTACCATGTGTTCATAACCCTCCACCAGTGGGAAGACTTTGGCATAGGAATCATGCCAGGTTGTCTTTGCCACAAAAAGCCCAATAACTTCAGTTTTGTTTGGATACTTTCCAAACTTAGTCTGCCATTTGCGTTCAGCAACCATATCATTGATTTGTCCCTGAAGCTCAAAGATGTGGGTGTAGCATCGATACATAACTTGGAGAGTGGGGTTTGTATCATAGCAAAGTGACTCATTGATTGTCAGCCCAGCTGTTTTGAGTCTACCAAGCAGATTCTCATCAATACTACATTTAGAGCCAGATGGTACAGAGACATCCATAGGAGTATCAGGACGAGAACGAGAATGAGACTCAGAAAATGCATAACGAGACATAGACTCAGACCGAGATTCAGATGAAGCATAGTGAGACGATGGACCAGAAACATGAGTCGAAGGGGGGTAAGAAGAACCTGTAGAAAAGGAATAGCTGATTGGAAGACACTTGACAAATAATGAAAGAAATTAAGAAAATGCAAAGAAAAGATGATGATAATGAAACTTACAAATAGAATGTGACATTTGTCACTTTCATTGGATTCAAGACTTTCATTATCTGCCAAAGCATGCTCATAGCGACCTAATAAATTCCACTGCCAAGTGCCAGACAGGTTTGATTGCACAAAAACATGACCCTCTTCAAAAATAATCAGTTATATGAAGTGTGGAATATTTCCTTTACATACCTTTGACACTCTCAAGCCGATTAGCAACTTTCTTTAGAACAACTGCAGATTCAAGAGGAGGAACAGTTAAGACACAAAAGATTGTGTTGGCAGGAAGAGAGGGATCAGGAATGACACTCAGTTTGACTGGGTCACTATATACCAGATAAGCAAATACTTTGTAGTTCACTTGAGCACTTCCTGCAAAGAAAGCATCACCCGAGTCTAGTCTGGGGAAATCTGCATGATTTAAGGCATTTCCCAATGCCTTTCCACGGAAAATACCCCCCATCATACGTGAAGAGCCTAGAGCTGGTGGGCTCCCTTCAACATCCATATCAATGTCTGCAGCATGTCGTAAATTTAAAAATTCAAAACACAAAGTGTAAATTACCTTGATCACGAAGAGGATCAAGCCCATCCGTCATAACTAATACACATATATATAAAATGGGTTATAAGGAGAAAAGAAATTGATATACCCAGCTTAGTTCCCAGGTCAGTGGTCAAAGTTTCACTGCCTCGGACACGTTGAGGGGTTGCTGGGTTCACACGGACATGGACACATTGAGGGGTTGCCGGGTCCAGACTGGCATAGGCATCGGTGTTGGCGGCATCGTCATTGGTGACATTGGCGTGGGGGATGTTGGCGTTGACGTTGGCGTGTGCGACGTTGGCATGGGCAACGTTGGCATGGGCAACGTTGGCGTGGGGGACGTTGGCATTGACGTTGGTGTCGACATTGGCGTGGGCGACGTTGGCATGGGCATGGGTGATCGTGTCGTTGGCGGTGTTGGCGGTGTTGGTGTTGCTGGTGTTGCTGCTGCTGGTGTCACTGCTGCTGAGGTTGGCGTTGGCGTTGTCCCCGTTGTTGTGGTTGTCCCCGTTATCGTCATCGTCATCCACGTTATCATCATGCTGGCACCACTACCGTCCTCACTGCTCGTTTCAGAGCTGTTGCTATGGGCGTTAACGCCCATGCGTGGCTCCTTTGCAGGGGCAGCGTCGTCAGGACGACACTGCCTGGCGCTAACGATAGCAGGCGGGGGCGGCATGTGGGATGCACTGGCATCCCGGATACGTTCCAGGGGGGCAGTGGCCATTCCGCTCTCAATGAGCTTCCGCTCGGCCCTAGCGATGTCAGTAGCGGGGGTCGAAAGAAGGGGGAGGGGCTTACGGGGTTAGTTTGGCGGGAGAGGGCTGCTTGGCATCCTCTGCCACTTTTTGGGCACTCGTTTTCCTGTAATCGGGCGCCATCGGTGTTATTGATGGTGAGCGATCGACGTGGATGTCGACGTGGATGGGGTACATACCTTGGTTTCTTCCCTTTCTTAGCCTTCCCCCCTCCTTTCTTCCCCACCTTCGTCCCTCTCGTCACCGTGTCGGGCTGTGCTGGCTCATTGGACTCGGGGTCGGTTTGGTGTTTCTTCTGGCATTTGCTTGCCTGGTCGCCTGCATTCGATGGCCCTCGCTTGCGGACAGGCATGTGAGCGCGTATGTGGCCGCTGCGTGAGGCTTTGTCATCGGCGCGGGTGCGAGGCGGCATGGTTTCGTTGTCGTCGTAGTGGGCGGTGGTCGTGGTGAGGTGGTGATGGTAGTGGGAAGGAAGTGACGTGTCAACGTTTGAGCCACAGATGTCACCTTTGGAACGTTCTGGGCTGTGGGTGGTGAAGGGGGGTTATATAGTGTTTAAGTTATACGTATAACAAAGCCCTTATAGCTCAGTTGACTTGAGCGTTGCTCTCGTTCTCATAGTCTCGGGTTCAATCCTTGAAGAATGCAACTTTTTTTATTTATTATTAATATAGTAAGAAGACTATAAATACTATTGGGATGGTATTCAATACTTTCTAGTACTGTTTATATGTATTCTAATGGTACAATGGTGATGGAATCCACCTGGAATCCACCTGGAATGTTCCATGGAGTCATTCCATGGAATCCACCTGGACTGTTCCATGGAGTCATTCCATGGAATCCACCTGGACTGTTCCATGGAGTCCAGTGGAATCCATCTGGAATGGTGGTGGATTCCACATGGAATGATCAATTCCATGACCATTCCATCATCATTCCAGATGGAATCCATGATGTCTATGGAATAAGAAATCAGTTGAGGCCCCAGCCAATGTTGATTCCATGGAGTCCATATGGAATTATCCATGGATTCCATACGGAATAACCCGGGGAAGGTAAAGACCTCCAAAAAGCTGGTATTACAAAATTTTATAATGAAGAAATTGAACAGTACAAGCTTTTGTAATGAAAAAAGAGGAGACTACAATTTTTGTAGTCTCAAAAAGCTGGTACTACAAAACTTTGTAACAATAAAAGAAGATAATACAATTTTTTGTAGTTTTTGTAGTCCCAAACAGTGAACTACAAAATTTTGGTAGTTCTGAAAAGTAGACACTACAAATTTTTCTCTGTCTAAAGAGCACATGGTTTAATACTCTGGGTTTGTTCTTCAGGAAATAGTTGCAAGAAACTAATGACAAAAGGAATGACACAATGGTTTAACGTTGATGGTCGGAAGCTGTTCCATGATGCGGATACAGGCAAGATGATCCCTAGAATGCTGAATACATTCATTTCTAATGTATAATAGCTGCAGTCAATCTGTAATTTCAGTTTGGAAACTGAGTTGTCACCAGGAACACAAGAAGATTCCTTCCTGTGAACTTGGCATTGGTCATGGTGCCCAATTTATTGTGTTGTAGTTCAGACACAATGTCTGTCGTCAAGCAGGAACTCACAAGTTGCCTGTTACAGATATGAGCAAATCTTTGTCTATAATCTTCTTCTAGTGCATCTACAATGTGAACAGTGATGAGATTGACACCGATTATCAACCTGCACACAGTTTGGGGGCTGTTCCAAGCGTGCCTCTGCGTGCCTGCACAGAAGACGAATCAAAGCTCATCGAACCCGTTCCCAGCAGCAGCCTAATCCTTAACAGTACCCCTCCTGCAATTTGAACCCTGGAAGCGGCAATTTTATGAAATACTTTCATGTAATATACATAACTGTGGGGACAGATTTCTCATTAGGTACGAATCTCTGTAATGAATACAAAGTTACTTAATAGACTACAAATTTAATCAGAAACAGTGCTACAGGAGCATGAACTTAAATGTTTGAACGTTGATGTATACTGCAAGGTCACACATTGTGACTTATGATGTCACTTCTCCTTACTCACCACCATCGCCTCTTCATCACCCACAACCAATGTGGCCACAATGCAACACAACCACAACAACGATGGACGACAATGACGATTTCGTCGTTGTCATTACCTGGTGAGCACACACACACATCTCCCCCCTCTTTCATTTCTGACAACAATGCCAGGTGCCACGTCGCAACAGTGACATGGCAACGAAACGACGAACGGTGACATTTTGTCGTTCGTCATTTTGCCGGTCCTTCATCCCAAACCAACAACAACCGTGCCACATCAGCACATTAGGACAACCACAACCGCCCAAAACGATAACAACAAACTACACCAACTGGGGAACGATGACGAGTGCCCACGCAAAATGACATCTGGCGCATGCCACCACCGCCCACAGAAATGACAGTGCCCATGGAAACAATGACCACTGCCCATGAGAACGACAACGAGTGTGCGCCGACGAAAACGATGACTTTGCACCCCATGTCCCCAGGGCCACAAACAACCCAGCAAGGGTGCTGGGCCATGATGCAGACTGATGAGGGACGACGATGATAATGTCATTGTCGTCGTTATATTTTCATTCGGTGAGCCCTCCTCCCACACTGCCCACTTCCCCCCTCCCTCTCTGGTCTGTCACCTCCTTCCTCCCTTCCTCCCACCCTCCCTGCATACCACCTTCCTCCCTCCATCATCTGTTACTGCCACCTCCCAATACTTTACCATCCCCCACATAATCCACATGGACTCCACTGGACTCCACTGGATTCCACTGGATTCCACTGGACTGGACTGGACTGGACTGGACTGGACTGGACTGGACTGGACTGCCAATCACAAAACTGGACTCCACTGGACTCTCCCAACACAAATTTGGACTGGACTGGACTGCCAACTATACCCAAAACAAAACTGGACTGGACTGGACTGCCACAGACCTTAAGCACACTTAGATTTCAAAACAAGAAGAAAATTAAAGTATAGTTCATTGCATAGTCTATTTTCGCTTTTTTAGTAGTATTCATAATTAATAATAATAAGTAATAAGCATACTGGAATCACTGGAATCCACTGGACTGGGACTGGACTCAGGAAAGTGGCTTGTAGTCCAGTGAGAGTCCAGTGGACTGGGCATTGTGCAAGCCAATCTGGCCTAGCAACTGGGCCACTGGAATCCACATGGATTACGTGGGGGAGGGTAAAGACCTTGCCACCTCCCTCCCCCCCTTCATCATTCCCTACCAACACCTCCCCTGTCTGCCACTCCCTCCCCTCCTGCCATTGCCTGCCACCCCTCCCCCCACCTTGCCTGTAACCCCTTTCCCTCCCTCCTCCTTCATTGCCTATAACCACTTTTTCCCCCCTCCCTCATTGCTCATTGCCTACAACCCCTCCCCTCCCTCATTGCCTACAACCCCTCCCCTCCCACATTGCCTACAACTCCTCCCCTCCCTCATTGCCTACAACCTCTCCCCTCCCTCATTGCCTACCACTCCTTTCCTCCCTCATTGCCCACCCCCCCCCTCTCTCTCTCTCTCTCTCTCTTCCCCTCCTTTCCTCTGCCTCTGTTTAATAGTCAATACTGTGGTGTAAATTTATGTAGTTAGATTCAATAAATTGCAGCTTTGTCTTGTGAAATCTTCTTGTGAAATCTAAAGATACATCCTCAAATTATATATCCTGGATATATTCTGTAATTATGGACAAGGATGACATATATTCATGATCCTGTTCATGATATAGATCAAAAATATCCTGGTTCAAGATATAGTTGAAAGATATATCCTGGTTCAGGATATAGTTCAAAAATATATCTTGATCAGAATGTAGTTGGAAAATATAGGATATAGTTGTAAAATAATGTATGTTGATTCAAGATATAGTTGAAATATATATCTTGGTTCAGGATTTATAGGAAATATATGTAGTTGAAAAATATATCCTGGTTCAGAATGTAGTTGGAAAATGCAAGATATAGTTGAAAAATAATGTATCTTAATTCAGGATAAAGTTGATAAATATATCTTGGTTCAGGGTATAATTGAAATATTCAGGATACAATTGAGAAATAATGTATCTGGGGTGGGATGTTGATTTTCCAGACACAGCATTAGGGTGTTTCACAGTAGGCCAACTGGCAACCAACTTTTGCAAAGTTGGAAGGACAAAGTTTGGCCAACTTCATCAAGTTGAGATCCAAATCGTGGTCCCAATGCCAATTCAGAGCCAACTTTGATCCCAACTTCACCTCTCAACTTCCCATGTGTCCAAAATAGGCAAAAATCTGCACTCGGAAGTGATTTCAAGCACAAATCAGCCCAACTTCATGTTTTCGGCAGTTCCAGGTGTTTCACAGTAGAGTTGGCCAACTTTCCCATCAAATTTGTTGAAGTTGGCCCACAAGTTTGGATCAAAGTTGAAAGCAAAGTTGGCCTACTGTGAAACACCCCATTGGAGAGGAAAGCTGGTAAGTTGGTTGTTGTATTTGGAAGTGTTCCTCTTGCTAAACTAAAGTGATGGAGTTGTTTGGGGTGGGATGTCAAAAGTTCTCTAATGTGGACTGTATCCAGTGTCATTTGAAGTGGATAAGAAGGGAACCATATAAAATACAAAGAAGAACCCCATATTATGACATTGTGAAAAGAATTTGTTAGAGGAGAATGGAATTTGTTGTCCATAAATTTACAATCAAGAGTCAAGGGAAAGAGAAAGAGAGAGAGGAGGAGAGGGAGAGGAAAGAGAAAGAGAGAAACAACAAAGTACGTTGTCAACTCTGACTAGCTAAAAAATTATGTAATGTGAACTGTATTCATAGTGTCATTTGAAGTGGATGATAGTTAGGCAACTCAGATGTTATGGAAGGGGGTGTGGTGAAATAGCTTCAATATAGCAGCATGGTTCTGTATTAAGAACAATTCTAGATGTTTCTGAACTTGTTGATGAAGAAGCACTCATATGACACCACCATGTCCCCACCTGAGGTAGAAGTCAATCATAAGTTGACAAGAAAGTATCACCCTCTTCCGAAACAAGCAGAAGTCAAATGTTCAAGATGGGATGTTGGTTTGCCAAACAGATCAGCATAGAGATGCTATTGATGCCTTATTGCTACCTACATACTGGGAGCACAAGCCAAACATAGTGCCAAAACCCCTGGAAGTCATTGCAGAATCTTCCAGAATATATACCCCAGACAGCAAAAAATCACAAGTTTTTTTGCTAAAACTAAGACCCCTGACACCACTACAGACCAGAAAAATATATCCTTACCACATCTGTATCACAAAATATATCCTAAGGCCAAGCCAGGGCAAAAATATATTTGTAAGGTGTGACAGTGACATTTCAGGGTCCACTCACCAAAAATATATCCTTACTGCATTTCACTTGCAAAATATATTTTGGTGGTGTGACACAGACATTATAATTTTTGTGTGACATTTCAGGGTCCATGTGTCAAAAATATTTTTTAGATTTCAGGGCTTTCTAGGACCCATATATATCTAGAATATAGATATGGTCCATGACATTTAGTCATGTAACTTATGTGGAGTTTGCATGACTAATAGTCAGTTGGCACTGACTGAAGTGGAAGAACAGTAAATTTTCTATCTTCATCTCATATTGATTATTCACTATTATTTATTTTGCTGCTTGCAGATGTGTCATCGCACTCATCTGAGGACTCAATAGCAAATTTCCCTGCCCAGTCTGCCTTGTACCAGGGGATCAGCTTGTCAACCTTTCAACTGACTTCCCTCTTCGTACTTCTTCTGAGATGGAAAGGATTTATCAGTCTACAAAGGATCTCAATATTGGCCAGACAGATGAAATTCTCAAGGCTTTTGGCCTCCGAGATGTTGAGGTAGGTTCCACTCAAGAATGTCTTTTGGAAATTTCCCCGCACAGATATTTACCAGGCAATTTCTTGGGATCGTCTCCATGCAGATCATGGTGGTTTATTCTCAGATCACATTTGGGAAGAAGTCAAAAGCATAGCTGAGGAGCTGGGAAAGGAGGTCTCAAAGTTGATTGACACCTAGTATGCTTACTCTGCCTCTATAAATTTGATTCTGATCATTTGACACAGTTGATGCAATTCCTCCTTGGAGTGGCTTGAACCACTTTAATTCAATTATCAAGACAGGAGAATTTTCAGATGGTAGTAAATATGAAAACATGTCAAAGGTAAATGGATTTGAATCTCATTTTCTCAAGAATAAGTTTAACAGAGAGAAGATCCTCATTTTTTCCATTCACAATATTTTCACAAAGGATGGATGTCCTCGTGGATACCAGCTTCTCAAGCTCATGTGCAGCTACCTTGAGCTTGACATGTATGCATCTCTTACAGTTCACACAGAGACCACTATTCAGAATGGTCGAAAAGAGCTATTAGTTTTTGAAAAAGAAGTTCAGGTAAGTATAGGATTTGGTAGAATGCTTCATTCTAACATAAAGTCTCAAAGAAATATATGGAATTAAACCCCAGTAAATCTTGGTCATTTCCAAAGGCACATACCCACAAGCATATGTTCAATGATGTTCAACGAAAAGGGGCAACACAGAATTACAATACCAAGCCAAATGAAAAGTGTCATGGTGCCTTCAATAACAGCTATAAATTTATAACAAATTTTAAAAATGTTGCACCACAGGTATTCACTTTTGCTATGGTTGATGTTGTCAGATTATAACAACTTTTGGCAGATTCTCAGGTTTGATCATGCTGATTTAGTTGCAACCATGATACGAGATGACATTGACTATCTTGATCAATCACTATCACAAGCAAACATATCCTCTGAGGATAGAGCAACAACATGGAAAATTATTGGAACAGACCATGTTTCTCTGGGTTCACCATGCACACCAATTTCATTTTCCGAACTTGAGTGATATTGCATTCAAGGATTTTCGCAAGAAGCTTGGCCGGTTTTTTACACAATACTTTGGAAAGACCATGAGATTCAGACCCAATGATGAGGTAGAGCAAAGTCTTAAATTTTTGCCTGCCTTCTTATGACAGCTTTTGAACAGATCTCTCCCTTTCAATTGCTTCAGGTTAGCTTTGAATCAACAGTTGATTGGCATGTTGCAGCAAATCTCCTTCGAGTCAATCCAATGTTCCATGGCAAACCATGATATGATTGTGTTGTGATCAAGGTTGATGAGAACAGTTACATTTTTGCTCACTTGCTTTTTATTTTTCAACTCAAAGGGCTTGAAAAGGAGTATCACCTTGCACTTATTCTTCCTCTAGATATTCCACCTGGCTTGACAAATCGCCAACAGGATATTGACCTTCGCTTCACCAGCCTTCAGGCATGCCATCGCTCATTATCAGTCTTCATATCCATTGAGTCCATTCTTCATGGATCCCTTCTAGCTGCAGATTATGGATCAGAATATCTGGATGAGTATGTGGTGGTTGATACAGTGGATTCGGACCTGTGGTTGTGGATGAAATAATTATCCCTTGCCCACAGGGTTGATTTGGGTAATTGATTGCAAGTGTTTCAGCCAAAATATGGGGAAGAGGCTTGAATGTTGGAAACTTATAGATTTGGTACTTGACATAAAATTTGAATCATTGTACAATATTGATAAGAGCAGCTAAACTATGTGGCTGTGGTAGATGCCTAGCATCAATGCTCAACCCTACCATAGAGTTGTCAGAAGATGCTTTGAGTACATAGGGAAGGTGTTGTTGCAAGTACGAAAGAAAAGATTTGGAAAAGTACAAAGAAACATGAAGAGAGCTAAGATGAATGCACACAAATTTAATAGGAAAGCACCCATATTCCAATTCCTCCAAAGTTGTGGTGATGCAGCAGTGTATGATGTCATTGAGCCCTCAAAGCCGCAAATTTGGGCAACTCGCCAGCATATGATGTCATCGCTTCAAGTGCACAGCCACTGGCCTAACAGATTTTGCAGACAATGTAATGCATTACTCATTTTTATCCTTCAGTAAAGGACTTGGATTGAGTTAAAAAAGAAACAGAAAGACATAAAATAAATAGAAGAACTAAGCGTAGAAAGAGATGCATGTGATGCACCAGAGGGTACGCATGACATGCCAGGGGTGCATGCGACATGCCAGGAGCTGTGTGCAATGTGCCAGGAGATGTGCACAACATTCCAGGAGATGCATGCAATGTCATAGGAGATGCGTGCAATGTCATAGGAGATGTGTGCAATGTCATAGGAGATGCGTGCAATGTCATAGGAGATGCATGGTGGCGTGAAACTCCAGGAGATGCACGCAATGTGCATAAACCTGTTCAAAACATGTCAACCTGCACAAAACATCTACAACATGTGCACAAACTTGTGCAACATCTTTTCTGATCCACGCATTGCACATGAAAGCTGCCACTCAATTTTTCTCATGGCCCGCTGAAGACTTGATCAATGGACTGAGAAAATCCTGCGCAAAGGCATGCACACATTCATCCACTGTCCAGACTTCTGCACCCTGCGGCATCTGCACCTCTGTGCTTTTTCATGCTTATTTTACACTTTACTGGACTATGACAGTTTTCTGAGAAGCCCAGACATGTTTCTTATTATGTTCTGCTCAATTGTAGCATGTTCAAATTATCTTTATGTATTTTTTTGTGCATTTTATCTATAACTTTAATAGCGCCCACGAACTCAACTCTAATCGCCAAATAAAATCAAGGTTGCTGATTGATATCTCTCTGTCTTTTTGAATTAGGCTCGGCAACTTATAACACATGTGCATTATCTTGCAGTAATAATTAAGTATGTCGGTTACTTGTTTTCTCCGGATGGTCCTAGTTCCTTCATCTTTCCGTTCTTTACTCTGAGCTCATATTGCTGAAGGAGTCTCAATGCAGTGAGTTATAATGTCTGACGTCTATCACCCTGGATTGTTAAAAATATAAATTGGTCACTCAGATCACAGCAAACTCGCATCCTCGCTTCATATGATTCACTGACTCTGTATTGCCGGCTCTGAGACTGCATACACACATGTCTTCACCTCTAAGCTCCATCTCCAGGTCTGGATCTGAAAATTCTACAGGTTCTGGTTGTGCTGCCAATGGTGACTCGGTTCGGGAATGTATAGGCTTGGATGCGGCAGCACTTCTCCAGGTCAGTCTATTGTGCCTGATTATTTTTCATGGCTCCTTGTCTAATTTCACTTTTTTTTAGGCACTGCAAGATGCGCATCGACAGCTCAACTCTTTGAAAGCGGAAAATTCAGAACTTCGCCAGGAACTTGCTTCTCTACGTTGCAAAATTCCTCAAGGCAACATTTCGAGTGCATCCAATCTGTCTAGTGATCTCTCTGCGTACGATGAGGAAATCACAAAATTTGGCAAAGTCTTCATGCACTGTTTTTCTTTGTGGATCAACCCCGCCCCTCCTTCACCATTTTGTGCTCCTTGTCCTTCCTTCCAGTGGAACAGTCAGGATCGGTATCTAGATGCTGATTCAATCACTTCCGGTCCAACATCAGAGCTATATGCATGTGTTCCTCCAAAATTCCACGATTATATGGGGAAGCACGAATGGTTTCAAGATATTGTCCGTATTCTGAATTATTGACTCATTTAATGACTAAGGACTTTTTAGTTCATGGCGAGTGTGTCCTCTGGCCACTCCAACATGCTTCTGCGTGCACGCACCCATGCAGCGCTCATTTTTAACATGACCTCAACATTATTTGAAACGAATCCAAAGGGCGATGACAAGGGCCGAATGGCAAACAATCCTGAACTAGTGCGTCTGCTTGGCTACAAACCCAATGGTAAATTGGCCAAAGAACACTATCCATCGAGTCCCCCTGTTCTATTTGCCAATGATAACATCAACGCTGTCGAGGGTTTCTTGAAGAATAAAATCCTCATCTCTGTAAGTCTATGTTCTAATTTTTAGGTCCATTAATCTTATTGACAGTGTGCTACACAGATGGGCCGTCTCTTGGCATATGGTCTGAGAGCTTTGAATGGCCGGAGTCAGAAACTCACATTCAATAGAAACAGCCCCCTTCACAGGTGTGTCCAAGGTGCTACTTTTGGATTTATCTGTGTTACTGCTGTCATTGTACGTGAACCCCTCTGACATCCAGGTTTCAATCTGTAGAACCTCATTTCTAATCGCATTAGGTTTGTTTTCTCCTTGGCAGCGATCCGGAGATGAACAAGGATGGCATTGGGAAATTTACAGGCATCAACTATTTTAATGAGGCAGAGGCATACAAAAAACAGCTAATCGAAAACCAAGACTCACCAATCGTCTGGAAGTTGTTGGACTACTGGAATGTGGAAGTGTTCCCTTCCTTGCATCTTGCCTCCAACCCTCAATCAGATGAAGAAGACGATTTGGCAAGTGATGGGCTTGTGGCTGAAGACACGGATGTGGACCTCGATGTCATATTCCATGCATTCGCCTCGACAACGGATCCTTGCATACGACATTGTCTGATGAATTTGAAGCAGCCGTGCCTGTGCTTCAACCACAGCCAATTTCTGTGGCAGCACCTGGACCTGCTGGGCCCGCTTCAACCGAGTTGATGCCGATGACGACCCCAGTTGCTCCTTACATGGCTCCTGCAGCTATACCCAATTCAAATGCACCGCCGCGAGCCCCAAGACTTAAGCAGCACAACACAAAAAACTCGAAAGCACCCATTGCTGCCGACATAGAACTCGTCACTAATGAATCACTTGGTGGACTGGTCAGTGTGGCCCACGGAGAAACTGATGTAGGCCTTGCACCACTGACCATTCCCAATCCCATTGCCGTTGATGCACCCCTACCCCCAGTCAAACCTACTCACGGCGCACATGCAAAGAAAACCCCCCCAGTTACGGCTGATCCTGAACTGACTGCACCTCCTCGAAGGACATGCGGTGCTGGCGTGAGGGCGAAGACCAATGCAAACACAAACATTGCAAAGTAGTCATAACTTTTCTTTGACATTCGACTAGTTTACGTTGACAGGAATCACTCGGAGCCTCTGCACTATTGCCGCACTACATACTTCCATAGTAATCTTCCAATCATTCATTGTAGCTACCTAATTAAAGCGTGGATCACTTTAGCTACTATTTTTGGTGCTTTGTGGTCATCAATACATACTATTCTGCATCTTGAGTTGTGAGTTCACAGTAAGACTTGGTGGAATCTATGGAGGCGTGAACAATGTGCCCCGCCATCTCTATGTGAGCAGGGCACCAAGTGCTGACTTGTAGAGCTCGTTGTCATATCTAAATATGCCCGTATAACCTAGTGGAAACTATAGACAAGTCAGTAAGATGTATAAAGGTAAGCAAAAGATCTAGAGTTTGATTCCCCAAGAAAACAACTTCCTAATCAGTGTAAATAGGACTACAAAATTACTAACACCATTAAGAACGGTTCAACTACAATACAATAATAGTGGCTCAACTACAACACAATACACTGCCTACGGAATATAACAAGAGTTTGTAAGGTCAAGCTCAATTAATAATTTTCCTAATCTTACAATAACCTCGGACATAACAATTTGTGAATGTTGTCTTATAAGGGGCCACTTGCCTATTATAATGTATTTCTCTCCCATTGCAATTCATTGTAATCCAGCCTGGCCATTATTTACATTATACCCCTTATAAGGCTCTATGGATTTTTCTGACAATGGATTCCATGGATGACCATTATACCATTAGAATACAGTATTTGTAGTGTCCTTACTATATTTAAGTAAAAGAAAAAACAATTTACATTTACAGGAATTGAACTCTCAACCTCATCAACATTATCGGTGCTCAAACCAACTGAGCCATGGAGGCATTAGTATATGGGAAGGTAAATGTATGTATATACCACTTTGCATCACATGGCATCTCAAACATGACAGCTGTGGCTGATGCAATGCCAGGTCGTTTTTTCCTTTCAACACCACCATCACCATCCACCCCACCATCTCATGCCACAACTGAGGTCTTAGTGATGCCCTATTCCTGCCGGATTCCGGTCATTCCGGCAGATTCCAGTGCCATTCCAGTGGAATTTACCAGCCAAAATTTCACTGCAGCCACGGAATATTGTTATTCCGGGATTTTCACCAGAACAGTCCCCAGAATGGACCGGAACAGAATGGCACTGGAATGCAGTGACTGGAATGAACACTAAAAATCGCCAAATATGGCAAGTCCTATATTTTCAGATAAAAATTAGCAATAAAATCAGAAGAAAAAAATAGGGATGGTGATAATGATGTTGGGGTACTGTTTACATGGTCTGTGCGCATTTCCTAATATGGTAATTAATCCAAATATAACCAGAAAATCAGGGGAAAAAGAGAGAAAAAATAGGGATGGTGCTCACTATTGGTGATGTTGTTGGGGTATTGCTGACATGGTCTGTGCGCATTTCCAAATATGGTAATTAATGCAAATATGGCCAGAAAATCAGGAAAAAAAGAGAAAAAAGACTGAACATGATGTAGACTGCTCTTGACAATGGTGAAGTAGTGATCACATGGTCTGTGCACCTTTCCAAATATGGTAATTAATGCAAATATAGCCAGAAGATCAGAAAAGAAGGGGAAAAGGTATACACATGGTGTTAACTGTTATTGACAATGTTGGAGTAATGTTTACATGGTCTGTGCACATTTCCAAATATGGTAATTAGTTCAAATACAACCAGAAAAACAGCAGAGACATGATGTTAACCATTGTTGACAATGTTGGGGTACTGTTTACATGGTCTGTGCACATTTCCAAATAGCTGTTGTCAGGTTCAGGGTACATATCCAAAAAAGGAAATTTAAGTATTTCTAGTAAAAGAATAGCAGAAAACTCACAAAAAAATAGAGTTGGTATATGCAGTGTATACAATATGAGGCACTGCCTTCAGGGTCCATGTCAGGGTCATTTATATATACCCACAAAAGGAAATATGATCTTGTATGACCAAAAAGTCAAGAAATTCAAGATAATGAGGATTCTGCTTGTCAGGGTTCATTCAATGGGATGTCAGGATGATGGTCACATGACCAATTACCAAAAATGGTCAAAAACAAAAGTTGTAGCCTGCACTCATCTGGTTGAATTGTGTTCTGAAGTGCTCCCATTGTGGAGATATGAGATAAAAGATTTTCAAAAGTGTCGCATTTTCTTTTGTTTTTTGTATTCTCCATGAAAACAACACCAAACAATATGATTTCAACACATTTACAAAGCTAAGAGAAAGGGCTACAACTATTGTATTGTGTATACACACATTTGTATTTACAAGCACTTATACATGTCCCTTCTGTCAGAATCTGGTGGAATCCAGGCCCATTCCAGAGGATTCCAGTCCATTCCTGTGGAATCTGGTGGAATCCAGCAGAATGGACCCATTCCTGCAGGAATATGTAGGGCATCAAAAAGTACAGCCACAACTGCCCATGACATCAATGTCAACAACGCACACAAAATCAACGGCAGGCGAGACAAGGGTGATGAGGGTCTAGGCTAGGTAAGTAGGAACCACCCCACTCATTTTCTTTTTGACACCAACCACAGGTGCCATGTCGCAATGTGGCAACCAGACAACAAACAACAACATCAGTCATTGTTCGTTGTATCTATTCAGCCATGAGGACCCAAACAACCCACCACCACCACACCGCACCAATGTCAACGACCACCCACCACCATGACCACCCATTAACAAAGACAAGCACCCACCAACGTCAATGATCGCCCAGGAGGATGAGCACCCATGAACAAAGACCAGCGCCCACACCTGCCCACTCAAGAATGACACACACCACCCCACACTTCCCCCACCACCCATGAGTGCCCACGCATGACAACAAATGCCCACGACATGACAACAAACAAACCTGCCCACCCACAAACACCGTACACCGCACCAAATGAGCCCCACCACCCACGAGTGCCCACGAATGCCCACCTACAACAATAAATGCCCACAAGTGCAACACGCACATGGCAATGCACAATGTGCACACGACAATGTGCAGGGGACAACGTGAAGATAAATGAAACGACAACCCAGCCCCACAGATGCCAATACAGCCCACCACCCACAAACGACAACCCAGAGCACCCACAGACAAAGACACGTGTCTATGCATGAAGGATTCCGCTTGCGTGAATGGAAATGGGCAACAACAAGCCCAGGTAAGCTCCCCCTCCCTCCACCATTCCTCACCACCACCCCTCCCTACTCTATTGCTTCCCCTCCCTCTGTTGCTCCCCTTCCCATTTCTCCCCCTCCCTTCACTGCTCCNCCTCCTATTGCTCCCCCTCCATCTATTCCCACTCCTCCCTTCACCACTCCCCCCCCTCCATCACTCCTTCCCCCTCCCTCCCCCCTCACTCTCTACTATACCCTCCCCCCTCCATCACTTCTCCCTGTCTTCCTCCCCCCTCCATCACTTCCCCCTGTCTTCCCCCCTCCCTTGAATATTGAAAGTAGTCAAAATAAATTGTGTAGTCTATTTAATACATTTCAATTTTCTTGCTCAGCTATGACTATATCATGAGTATAGAAACCATGATTCCATGATGTGGACTTGGAATTATTCCATAAAGTCATTCCATGTGGATTCCATATGGATTCAACCCTAAAAATGGTATAGGACATATGGATTCCATCTGAAAAAAGTATGGAATCCATCTGGGGGAAGTATGGAATTTATCAGCCATTCCATGGAATCCATCTGGGAAAGTATGGATTCCATCTAGTCCATATGGAATAACCCAGGGAGGGTAAAGTACTGCTTCCACTGCTACACTTGCTGTCATGGCCATTTTTAGTCTAAATGGTGCCTGCAACACCATCATCCTTCTCACAACACATCTGGAATCTGGGCTTTTTAGTAGGTTCAACTACAATGATGCAGGTTTTAGGGAAATATCAGCTTCAGATGTTGAGGTTGAGGAGTATAATCCTGGAAGGCTCCCATCTCATTGACCTGTCACCATTTGTTTTCAATGCAAAGCAAATTAACCATCTATGGGAAAGCTGTAAAATACTTTTTATTTAGTGTGCTCTCAATTTTCATCAGACAATTATTGCCAAACTTGAATCCAACAGTGGGTCACATAGTACTATTGGAATCTTCTTCCTGTTTAAACTTTTGTCATAGCCTTGACATACCATGATGGCCATAGACAACAGGTACTAGTGAGTCAGATTTGTTGTGGCAGCATGGCTTGGATGTACCATGGTGGCCATGGACAATAGGTATGTATGATTCAGATTTGCTAGGCATCCACCCACCTGTGAATGGTTACATTTAAAATTCATCTCCTTGCCACAAATGTGAATAGCAGGCACTGGTGTAGATCAAAACACTCCACTGTGACCTGAATAATGTTTGAGCTGAGTGGGTGGGGCCTGTATCAAGTGGGTTCAATTCCCTGTGAACTGCATGTATGATGTTGCCATTCAATTGGGAGTCTATTTTTTCTTTTTCATGGATATGTTTGCTGTGGCAGCATTGGTGGCCTTGACATACCATGATGGTCATAGACAATGGGTATATGCTATGCACCTGTGAATGGGTGTATTTAAGAGTCAATCTGACTGAATGAATGAACCAAGTTACTTAAATAAAAAGATGCATCTAGTTTTATTTACAATAAATATGTAAATTGTCTCATCAATTTCAGGTCTGTGGCTGAAGCTATTCAACAGACCCTAAAGTTGTAATGTGTATAGCAGGCATTGGTGTAGATTGGAACACCCACTATTAAAACTTTGTGCACTTCTTGTTCATTGGTCTTTTGGTGGCCTTGACATACCATGATGGCCATAGGCAATGGGTCTTCAAATGAGTGTATTTAAGATTCAATTTGACTGAATGAGTTGAACCAATCTATATAAAAAAACACATCTTGTTTATTCAAAATAAATTGTCTCATCAATCCCCGGTATGTGGCTGAAGCTATTTGTTACAGACTCTTTTTCCCTATAAACATACCTATACACACAGACACTTACATATTCCTAAGATGTATGTAGACCATACTGGACAGTTCTAGACACGCATTCCAGGCCTCATTTCTTTATTGTATGATTTCTTACATCGTACAACTTTCTTTTCTTTTGTCGTACAACTTTGCATCATACCACCTTTATATTGTACCACTTTTTAGATGTCGTATGATATTCTTTCTTTTGTTTTAGTATATAAGTAGTGCTACTTTCATTTGTATTTGGTAGCTTGAACCTAGGCAATCTAAGCTTGGTTCTCCCTCAGAAACCTCAGAACTAAGATCACCCTTGAGCTCTATAGTATTTCAACTTAGAGCCTCTTTTGAAACCTTGACGATAAGTCTTCAACATTGAGGACTTAATACACACTTAAACTCAGTAAAGTCAGTGTATCATAGAACCTTGTATAGACCTTTGGGCACAAGGCGACTAGAACCTACTGTGTCTCTTATAGAGCTAAGAGAACGTTGTAGTGACCTGCTTTATCTCAAGACGAGAACTGCGGTAGATGAATGAACAAACAAGAACTTGACAAGCTTAAGGATAACTGCCCATTACACTCAACAACCATAACAAAAGGATCAAGCTTATCCCAGTGCATCACCCACCCTCTACCTAAATCAGACAAACTGGACAACATAACAAAAATTATACGTCTTATCAAAGAGTATAATTATAGGATCAAAGAAGTTATAGTTCTTCTAGAAGAATATAACAGAAGAATCAAAGATGCCATACAACTTGTAGAAGACACACAACAATCTTCTACTTAAAGAACCAACCACAGCTGCTCAAAGAGAGTCAAGCTGTTGGAGATGCTCTGACTCAGAACCTGAACCAAGAACTGACACCTTCACATCTGGTGAAGAACAGTATGAAAGTGCAGACGAGGGTAACAGTCCCCCTGCATCACAGATACCAGTAACAGAAACATCGACACCTGTATCGACAACAGGAAGGTATAGATGAATAACAGGGCCAGGACCATCAGTATCACCCTTCAGCAGACGAACCACACCCAGAGGATCACCAGCAATCACCAGAACACCCAGCAGAAGCATACAGCCGCTACTTGGACCAATCATCCTGACATCCACATTCACACCAATAAATTTATCCAAATTAGGTATCACACCTACCGATGAAAGAACCGAGATAACTGAACAGTTTAACACATTTGTATTAAACCCGTATCCCAAGTCACCAACAGTACCTGGAACTCCCAGACAAAGCAACACACCTATAGAACCAGAAAACACAGTCAGAACAACAATGCCAAACACTCCACCAGCAGTTAGTGGAACACTCCCACAAGGAACAATTGATCCATACCCAATAATTGCAAATGGGAAAGGAACAGATAGATGTTGTGCTCCCAAAGATTTTAATGGAGACGAATCCAAGTACAGACTATAGATCAAATGGTAGAAGCCTTTATGAGGGCAAATGGACAGCTATTCCTGACACCTGAGTTGGCAATCAATTTTGCACTCAGCTATATGACCGAAGGAAGAGCCGCCGAATGGGCAACTCATTTCATAGACAAACACACAGAAACAGAAGGCCTTTGCTCAGGCTTAAATTGGAAACAATTCAAAGAATTGTTAGAAAAAATGTTCGACCCCAGAAAGACAGAAGACAAAGCAAGAGTTGACCTTTCAGTCTTAAAGCACAAACCAGGAGACTTAGAAAAATATATCCTCAACTTTGAAACACTAGCAAGCCAAGCATGATATACCCAGAAAGACCAGGAAAATCCAATGCTCGCAATGTCATTTTTGGAAGGACTTCATCCTTCACTAAGGATTAAAGTCACCACACAGAAGAACCCACCAAAGACACTTGAAGGAATTATTGAAGATGCAAGAGCCTATGATCAATCATATTATCAGACCCAACAGTGGAAAGATAAAATTATAACATGGCAACCAACATGTACACCCTCTTGACCAACCAGAGATCCAAATGCTATGGATATTGACAGATTAACCATCGAAGAACGAGATGAATATATGAAGAAAGGAAAATGTTTCCGATGTGGACAAACAGGACACATGTCTCGCAATCATGCAACTAATCCTGCCCTTAACTCTGGAAAAGGAAATACTTCCAAATTCAGAAAACCCGCATCTACTCCATATAAAGCCATCATGCCGCCTCAGCCAAAGGAAAAGATGCCACACACAGAGTTTGTGCCATCATGACTGATTTAAAAGGTGAAGAATTAGAAAAAGCAAAGATTGCTTTCTTAGAATCTTTGGATAAAGATCCAAACGAACCAGCTGAAGAAGAATCAGATGACAATGATGAAAATAAGGATTTTCATTAAGAAGGCTAGTAACGATGTCTAGACCTTCTAAAGAACTCTCTATCAAAGCTCTTAAAGTTTGAAGTGTACCTAGTGACGATTTGAAATTGATGCGCATTGACACTAAGATCATTGACGGAAAGAAAATTGTTGAAACAAAAGCGCTTATTGACAGTGGCACTCAAGGAATTTTTATGGACAAAAGATTTGCAAAGAAACACTGACACCCGCTTTTAAGATTGGATAAGGAAATCCAAGTCTCAAACATGGACGAAAGCCCAAACAAGAATGGACCTTTTAAGTTCCATGCCCGACTTCTGACAAAGATCGATGGAAAAGTAAAGTCCACTGGATTTTTGATTTCCAATCTAGGAAAAGAAGACATAATCCTCGGATTACCATGGTTAGACAAAATCAACCCCGAAGTAGACTGGTCAAATAAAACCATCAAGATTATCCCTGACAGGATAAAGAAACCAAGTATATGACAGGCTATACTCAAAGAATTCCAGATCCAAGGAGTGGAATTAGAACATGAGAAGATGAAATCAAAAGAAGCCTTCACAGATCAACTGCAAAATATCCCTGACAGAAAAGTCAAAAGGAAAAGATCAATGATCTCTATTGAAGAGATACCCAATGAAGACGCAACCCCAAAATTTGAAAGATTGACAGATGACGAAGAAGCCATTCTCATAGCTGTGAATGAACTTCCCGATCAATATGAAGACATGCCCAGACATAACCAGAGCCGGATCTGACGGCCAGGATCGGTAGATCTGACACCTCTTGTTCAACACGGCGTACCATGATGGCCATATACCTGCGAATGAGTACATTGAAAATTCAAGTGGGCACTGGTGTAGATGGGAACAACCCATGCTGACTTTCGAGATGAGTGGGGCCTGTACTATATCGAGTGGGTTCAATTCCCCAAGAACCGCATACACGCTGCAATGATTTTTTTCTTTGTTTACATACAAGTTATACAAGATTTCATTGGTACTTCGTCATGGCGGCATGGCCTGTACTGGGTATGGACAACTAGGATTCGGATCCGATGCATTGTGTTAGTGTTGCCGAAGCTTGGCTCAGCTTGGCTTGAGCCACCAGCCGAGCTGAGCTAGATCAGCCACAGCTCGGTCATAGCTCGGGCTCGAAATAGCAATTTATAGCTGCAAAACATATTCTGCCACACAAAAGGCTGGATGCTGGAAAGGAAACCTTAACATAGCCTTTCACAGAGTTTTATAGCATTCTATCAACTTCCCATGTTTTACTGAGCATTTCGAATATTAGGTGGTCACATATGTGACCACGGCTCAATGATGTCACACATGAAGTTGAACAGCGACAATCGCAACATTACGGAGAGAAGTCAAAAGTAGCAGCACACTGACATGTAACTATACATGCAGTAGATATGTCCTCCCAAAAATTTTGAACGTGGCACCCCTAACCATTGAGAAAATTGCATGTTTCCGAATTTGGCATCCAAGCCACGGCTAAGCGGGCTTGAAGCCGGAGCAAGCTAAAGCCGAGCTCCGGCAACACTACATTGTGTACGTTTCTGAAAGAAAAAAAACGCATCTAGATTTATTTATAATAAATACTCCTCAATCCCGGGTGTGTTGGCATACCTAGAGAGTTCAAAAAGTTCAAAAGTTCGAAAAAAAGAGTTGCAATCGTGGAAATAAGATGAATATGAAGCATGAAGGGGTCAGATATGTACGTACGTAGGTAGATGGATATATATATATATGCGTAATAAGACAAGGTATCACGTTAGAATTTATAATGGAGAGTCGTAAAGGTGGGCGGTCAGGAATGAAAGAGGGCAACGGAAAAAGGGAGGGATGGGCAGGTAGATGGTATATATACATAAGACAAAAAAAAAAGAGCGGACGGGACGCGTTTGTCGTGGTGGATGTATCCCAGAGTTCAGAGTTAGTTTGGCGTATCATATGCTTGAAGATCCTCTTTGATGATGATGATGATGCTGGTACGTGCGTGTTTGATGTGGTTGGTTGGTTGGTAAGGGAAAGGAGGGGAAGGGAAGGGAAGGGAAAGGACGGGGAGGGGAGGGGAGGTGGTTGAGAAGGGGAAGAAGGGGAGGTGAAAGGCCTAACGTTATCAGGATATTTGATGATGATGCTGGTACGTGTTTGACGATGCGGTCGGTTGGTCGGGCGAGGGGAAGGGAAAAGAGGTTGAAGGCCTGGAGGGGAACGCAAGGCACGTTAATACCCAACCACGCCCGCCTTCCTCCTATACATCCTATGCCGCCTCGCAGGCACACCCGTAATCGTCGGCTGTGCTCCCTCCTCCTCCCGTCTCGCAACAGTAAACGTCGGACTGACATGCAAACTGCTGCTCGTCGTCCCTCCACTCTTCCCCGTCCCACTCGCACTCACACTGGCACTGGCACTCGGAGTACCAGGCACAGAACTCCCAACCTCATCCGCACTCCCTCCAAACACCTTCGGCTGCTGATGTCCAGGAGCATTCCGATTAAAATAAACACCCAACCCCACAGCAGCCACTATACATATAATCAACAACACAGAAACGATACCAACCCATCTATTCATCCTCCCATGCCCATTTTGGGTTTTCTTCAACCACGAAGAATCCTTTGCGCCTCGTGGTTTTGCGAGTTCTTCCTTTGCGATCATGGAGAACCGACGCCAGAAATCGTCCCCTTTTTCGCCTCGGCCAGGAAGGAGTGGGTCTTCGGAGTTTGAGCGGATGATGGGTTTGCGCGGGGTTGGTTGTGTTGTGAAAGTTACCGCTGGACCTCCGCCCCCACCGCTTGAAGAAGGGGAAGAAGGGGAAGAGGAGGGGAGAGCGAAGATGGGTTTGATAGGTGTCATTGGTGGTTGGAGGGGGTGTGGAGTGGATGGGGAGGGGGAGGAGGGGAAGGGTGGTGCGGGGGGGTCGAAGGGGTTTGCAGATGGAGGGAGGCGGCCTAGGCCTGTGGGAGGGAGGGAGGGGGGTGGTTGGGCGAGGTTGAGGGCGGCTATTGGGGCTGCGTAGCCTGGTCGCGGGGCTGCGATTGGTTGGAGGGGGCGGGGTTGCCCAGGAGGTGATTGAGGAGGACGGGGTTGTTGTTGTTGCTGCTGAGGAGGCCGTTGTTGTTCCTGTTGGGGGGGCTGCTGCTGCTGAGGAGGCCGTTGTTGCTGCTGAGGGGGCCGCTGTTGTTGTTGCTGCTGCTGCCGCGGCTGAGATGCGGTGTGCTGCTGCGTAGGAGACGGCTGACGACGCGTAGGAGAGGGGGACTGCGTGGCGGCTGCCAAGGCTGCGTGCTTGGACGGGGAGCTTCCAGCGGAAGCAGCAGCTACCCTCTTTCGTCTCTGCTCAGCTTCGTCCTCGGAGTCGTCATCAGAGTCAGAGTCGTCTGCCATGTTCAGCAGACCCATGCCTAGGTTGCTGACGCCCGAGTTTCTGTTGGGTTGAGACTCGGAGGGGGGAGAGAGGGATTTGTCGGCTTCGGAGAGGTAGCTGTCGTACCTAAGAAGTGGGTTAGCTGGTTTTTGGAGGGATAGAGAAGACGAACATGTTGTATGCTGACGTTCTCTTGTTGGGGTCTTCAGGTTTTGGAAGAGGGTTACGTCTTGGTGTAGGCGCGGACTCGTAGAAAGAGTCGGGTTCGTCGGTTGCGTACGGGGGTCGACCGGCTAGAGACATTACGTAGTAGCTTGTAGGATGTAAAGGAATGTGGGGTTCAGTCAAAGAGTGGAAGGGAAACAAGACGAGAAAATGAGAAGAAGGAAGGAAAAGAAGAGGATGACCCACGAGCACAAGGTGCGTTGTTGTTTCTCACACGTGCACCCATCACCGAATTCAGAATAGACGCATCAGTGTCAGCCATCATATAGGTATTCTGGGCGTCGCCGATGTATCCGTTGCAATTGGATACTATCACCGACTTCACGGGCTTCCTCGTCCTGGTACATGTTTTGAATTATCCTTGTGCATAACCTTGCCTTTTCTAACCGCGATTTCGATAACTCACCGACCATCGGCTCACGGGAGCACTCCGAACGCACCGGCCTTACGATCATGATCTGCGGTGAAATTCGAAGTCACCTCAAGGGTCAGCCGACTAAAGGCGCCACATTTCCATTTGGCCCTCTCTGAATTCTCGTTTACATTGCAGTCCTTCGCTTTCTTGAGATAAGAAAGTTTCTTATCTTAATTCTCAGTCTCTTGCTCTCAAATTTGGCAATCCATGTAGGCTACACTCCCTCCAAATATGAGCTATGGATGGGAAGGTTATGGTGAGCTCTGGAAGTGTTCGAATGCGTCAAGATGGAGAGCTCAGAGGAGCTCAGGCCAGGGTGAGGCATTTGGGCAGAGTGACAAGCGAACCCTAATCGTGTCACGCTGCCCCTGAAATTTGGCGGGGTCAAACGCCAGAGAAATCGACACCACTTACCTCTATGGTATATGCATAAGCGGAATAGCACTTGACATTATCCCGCGTTTTATTTTCGTGAGGGACCTCATAATCGCAATGTAATTCAGAATTTACAGTTTGGGTTTTATCACTATATGTGTACTTGTTTGGTCGTCGAAATTTAGAGACGCGTCTCCTGACACGCGCCCTGACTCGAACCACCACCACCACCTCTTCAAGTTCAATTGACGCGATGCCCAAACGTCGCGCAGCGCAAAACGACGACTCAGACGACGGAGGTCCTTCCTCTTCCGCGAAACGCGCCAGGACGGAGGAGGGTAGTGATGACGGGGTTGAAATTGACGACGTGCCACCCACCCAAACTCAGACGCGTGTTCGGAAGGGGAAACAACGCATCGAGGACCTTACCCTTGACGGAGAAGATGAAGAGATCGATGACGAAGAACAAGAACAAGAACTTCAGAGGGTCCGACAGGGTCGTCGGTCGACTGGGGGCAACGACACCCAAGGCGGCGGGGCGGGGGGAGAGGAAGATGAAGAGGAAGAAGATGAACAGTTCGAAGCGCAGAATGGGGATAAGATTAGGGCAAAGTTGGAGTCGAAGCGGCATGTTCAGGGTGTTAGTCCCCTTTGCTTTTCCTGTTATCTTGAATGTTGAGCTGACGTTTTTCCGCGTAGGGAGTCGCGGAGTACGGTATAATCGAATACATCGAAATGCACCAGTTCATGTGCCACAAGTACCTCACCTTTCATTTCGGTCCCCAGATCAACTTTATCATCGGTTTGTTCTTTTCTTTCATGTTGTGCTGAGACTCAATCCCATAACTTTGTTGTAGGGCATAACGGGAGTAAGCACTTCGTCGCGGCCGCGTATACGCCTTAGCAGATACTGACTCTGGTTTATCTAGGTGGCAAAAGCGCAGCCTTATCCGCACTCACCGTCGCTCTAGGCGGCAAAGCCAACTCTACCGGCCGAGGAAACGGGATCAAGTCTTTCATCCGCGAAGGCCAAAGGTGCGTTCTTCCTCCTCCCCTACCCTCCCTACTAACACCCCTACTTGCAGCGTCTCAGAAGTAACAGTCCACCTAAAAAACCAAGGCGAAGAAGCTTTCAAACCCTCCGAATACGGCAAGACCATCGTCATCACTCGTAGATTCACGAAAGAGGGCGGGTCGTCTTGGAAGATTAAGAGTAAGGATGGAAAGGTGATTAGTACGAAGAAGGAAGAGCTTGCTGCGATTTGCGATCATATGAATATTCAGGTGGATAATCCGATGAATGTGTTGACGCAGGGTGAGTGTTTCTTCTTTCTTTCTGTGTTTTCAAGAAAGGCTGATGAAGATGTAGATTCTGCGAGACAGTTCTTGAGCGCTAGTCATCCTCAGGATAAATACAAGGTCCGTCTCTCTCCCGCTACTATGAACTTGTGCTAACACACACCCAGTTCTTCCTCCGAGGCACCCAACTCTCCCAGCTCTCAGACGAATACGACACATGCCTCGAAAACATCACACAAACCGCCAAAGTCCTCGCGCAAAAAAAGGAAGCATTACCTGATCTTCGTACGCGCTTCGCAGAGGCTTCAGCGCGGTATCAGGAAGCTGCTAAAGCCAGGGAACAAAAACAGAAGTTGGATGATTTGAAGAAAGAGTTGGCGTGGTCGCATGTTAAGAAGAAGGAGGAGGAGATGACGAGTAAGATTGGGGAGGTTGCGAAGGCTGGTAGGAGGTTGCCGAGGATTGAGGAGAGTATTAAGGATGCGCAGGTGGGTTTTCTTTCTTTCGTTCATTTGGGGGTGGAAGGAAGCTGATGTGGTTTTGTAGAAAGCGTTGGATGTTGCTGAGGAGCAGGTTACGGCTTACGAGGCTGAGTTTCATGCGCTTGGGACTATGGATCATCTTACGGATGAGAGGACGAGGTTGCAGAATGAGATGAGGGGGAATAGAGTCAAGTTGGGGGAGTATACTGTACGTTTCTTACTTTCTTAGTCCTTTTGTGATATATATGCTAATGAAAAACACGCAGGCCGACCTGAAGACAATGGACGCAAGCATCAAAGCGACCAACCGCCAAATCACCGAACTGGAAGAAAAGATCGCGGAAGAAGCACGTAAAATGGCGGTACACACTCAAGCAAGACACGAACAAGTCCAACTTCGACTTGAAGAACTCCGAGCGGAAGTTAGCGCCGCCGAAGAAAAGCATCGTCAACTTATGCTTCAAAAAAAGGAGCTAGCAGTCGAAGCAGACACCGCCAAATCCGCCGGGGTCCAATTGGAACCTCGGCTTACTGAACTCCGCCAAAAAATCACAGAGTGCGATAATATGGTTTCGCAAGCACGGAAAAACGATGCCGATGCGCTTATGCCGTATGGGAAGAATATTAAGGAAGTTGTGAGGAGGATAGCGGGGATGAAGTGGTTTGGGGACGTACCGATTGGGCCGTTGGGTGTTCATGTGAAGGCGCGGGATCCGGAGAAGTGGGGTGAGATATTGAGGGTCCAGTTGGGCGGGTATTTGACTGCGTTTGCTGTTACGGATGCGAGGGATCGGGAGGGGGTTAAGAGGGTTTTGGGGGAGTTTGGGAAGTGAGTTTTTTTTTTTTTTTGCGTTTTCTTTCGTTGATCTTTAGCTGGGCTGTTGCGTGTTCGTTTTGGCTTTTGCTTCTTCCTCTTTTTTTTTTTTGTTTTAATTGAAGAAAAATGCTGACTTTTGTTGTTTAGTACCGGGACGTTGATCATCATCTTTGAGAAGGATTTGTTTGATTATAAGAGTGGGGAACCGCCTGAGAATTATTTGACTGTTCTTAGGGCGCTTGAGGTTCGTGTTCCGTCCCTCTCTGTTTACTCCTCGTTGCCTGCTTCCACCTTGCATTTCCTTCGCTTACCTTTCTTCTATACGTTGACCATCCTTTGCTTTTCCTGCTACAATGACGTTGCTCTCCCCATTCCCTCTTCCCAGCTTCCCTTCACTTTCCCCACCTTCGCTTCCCCACCTTCGCTTTCCCCTTGCCTCCCCTCTCCCTTTCCCCTTCCCCTTTCCCCACCTTCCCTTCCGACATTCCCTTCCTTTCTCCCTCCCTCGCTCTCCCTTCCTTTCTCCATTAACCTTCCTCGTACGCTAACTCTTTTCCTCAACAGATCTCAGATCCCTACGTCCTCCGAATCATGATCAATCAAGCGCACATCGAACAGCAGATACTTGCCAATACTCGCAAGGAGGCACAGCAGGCTTTGATGAGTCTAGGGAGGGGCGGTACGGCTTGGTCTGCTGATGGGTTTAGTGTTCGTGTGTTCAGGTGGGTATCTCTCTTTTTCTGTCTTTCTTGTCTTTTTTGGGGGAAGGTGTTACGTTCTCTTTGGGTGTTGTACTCTCGCTACGCGCGAGGTGTACTTTCTTTCTTTTGGCGTGTTCCTTTCTTTCCTTCTAGGTGCTTACAAGGTGTATTGATCATGGAGAAAACAGGGAAGGAGGGGTGGCTAGTTCGCCGTTGAATATGAGAGGATTGCAGGGCGCCATGAATCTCTTGTTGACTGGACGGGACACTGCTTCTGAGATTCGGTGGGTTGTTCTGTCCCTTGTGTCAAGTCGTCTCGGGCTGATAGAGGTGTACAAGACATTACAATAACCAGAAAGAACAACACCAGCGAGAGCTCGCTGGTATTCAGCAAGATTATGATCGTTTCAAGCAGGTGTACTCAGAGAAGAGGAAGGCAATTGACAGGGTTGGGGTGTGGTTTTCTCCCCCCTTTATCCGGGCGTTGACTGATGATAGGGTCTCGTAGGGGGAGGAACAGCGCGCGAATGGGGAAGTCCGCACTGCCAAGTCAAAGTTGCATAGCCTCCAGCAGGAGGCCAATGATGACTTACCAGCTGGTATGGCGGGCTATGAAGCTGCCAAGGAGGTTCGTCGTGTCAATGATCTAAAGAGAGAAACGTTGGCTGATTCTGAGGTATCCACGTAGGAAGCGGAAGAAGAGAAGAACAATATCAAAGCCCAGTTTACGGACGTCATGGCCCGAAAGAACGAAGTGGACGAGGTGCAGAAGGAGCTGCAGACTACGTTGAATGAGGTCAAAGAGAAGATTGCGAGTTTCCAGCAGAAGAGGAACGATGCTCAGGTGAGGGAGCCTTCCCTGTCTTTCCCGCAGGAGTAGGCGTGCTAAACATGACTTGTAGATGAGAACGGAGAACGCGGGCGAGGTGCGGTTGAAGGCCCAGAATAACAAGATCCATTACGAGACAAAGTTGGCAGACGAAAAGAAAAAAGTTGCAGCTATTGAGGAGGTCGCCGCTGTTCTTCAGGAAGAGTTCCAGGTTGGTTTTCTCGGACACACCTCCGGGGTTGACGGACGCTGATTTGGTGTTACTGGGGATGTAGAATTGGACTGCGAAAGCGGCAGAGTATTGTGAACGTGTGGAGAATCCTCGTCCGCAGGCGGAAGTTCAGAGGCTTTATGAGTCTGTTCAGGCTGCTTTGAAGGAGCGTGAGCGGAGGTGAGTTTCATAGGTTCTACCATCGTCAATTTATCTGATGAGCTCTGGTAGACACGGTGCCTCGGTTGAAGAGATGGCTAAAGAAGTCAACAAGACGAGGGAACAACTCGAAATTGCGGACAAGGCGCTCAAGCACATGGCACAGCTCAACAAGGCACTCAAAGCTTCTCTGATCACCCGGCTGGTCAAGTGGCAAGAGTTCCGGAGGCACATCGCGTTGAGGTGTAAACTTGTGTTTGCGTTCCATCTTTCGCAGAGAGGGTATTATGGAAAGGTGTTGTTTAACCATGATGCCCAAACTTTGATGTTGCGGGTAAGTCGCCTCCTCTATAGGAAGATTTGGAGTACTGATGGTGCTGGTGAGCGTAGGTACAAACGGATGACCAGACGTTGACGCAGGGATCGAAGGATAAGGATCCGCGCTCGTTGAGTGGTGGCGAAAAGTCGTTTTCGACGATTTGCTTGTTGCTGTCGCTCTGGGAGTCAATTGGATGTCCTTTGCGGTGTTTGGGTAAGATTTCTTTCAGAGTCCCTTAACGAGGTTGTTAATGTGGTTTGTAGATGAGTTTGACGTTTTCATGGATGCTGTGAATCGTCGTATTAGTATGAAGATGATGGTGCGTTGACCTTTCTCCTCTTCCAATGGTTTGTGGCTGATGTCGTTGGTACCCATGTAGATTGATACTGCGAACTCTTCCGACAAGAAGCAGTACATCCTCATCACGCCTCAAGACATGACCAACATCCACCTTGGACCTACTGTGCGAGTGTTGAGGATGTCTGATCCGGAGCGGGGGAACGGGATGTTGCCGTTTGGCTCGGCTGCAGCTTGATTCTGTTGAATGTGTTCTTGAATTGGTTGCTCGCGTGCTACTATGGTGACCACGTAATGCAAACTTTTGAACTCTATACTCCTATTGTCCATTAGTATTCATTATGACTATACTCACCTTTATGCTCGTGCTTTGAAGAAATGTAAGAGCTTATTGCAAGGTTTTTGTAGTATGTTTTCGTGAAAGCAAGACAAAGGGAACTTGGTATTGTACGGCGGGTGTAAGTATACAAAATCCAGGGAATATGATAGTAGGTTGGAGAATTCTATCAAACGAGTGTAATTATAGATACAAATAATATATGCACATTCAAGTCCAAATCACTCAGGTTCAAGAGCGATTTCTACCGCCACCAGCCAACGACTTCCACATCCTCTTGATCGTACCTCTTCTACTCGGTAAGGGCTCAGGCTTGAGGGTGGACTGCGGCTCATTTCGAACCGCCAACTCCTCCACGTCAAGGAAACTCGTCTTATTAGGAGTGCTAGAGTCGACAGCCTGCGATAGGACAAAAGGTTCATGTGGGCTACCAGCGAGAACGATCTCCTTTTCAAAGGATGGGTAAGGATTCGTGTGTGTAGACTTGAAGCAGAGGCTTTTAACACGACGCAAAGAGCTCTTCCGCATGCGGGAGAATGAGAACTTTCGTCGTCCTTGATGGTCTGATGTCTGCGACAGTGAAACGTCCGTCGTGCTCGCAAAGGTGCCAGTGGGTGCTGAAAGATCCGTCATACTCGTGGGGCTGGGTGTCGGTGGGCCACTGTCGGTGACTGACTCGTTGCTAGACGACAGAGTTAGACTTGGTGTGCTGCTCGTCAAATGGAGGACAGAGTTTGAAGGAGTCGATCCAGCGCTTTTGACACGTTTGTTTGGTATCGTGGATCGAGGTATCAGGGTACTTAAGGAGGGGGAAGAATGTAAGCGTAAGGTCGAGGGTTTGCCAGGACGATGCGCCTTTGCAGAAACTGGGAGGACCACACCCGAAGAAGCGAGGCCTAATCTAGTAAAGCGAGGTGTAACGTCGTAAGGGGAGGCAATGTACCACGAATTGTCGGTAGGTAAGGGAGGTGAATGCGGTTCGGAGCCCGGGAGATGATGTGGCCCGTTAGGGATAGCAGTTGGATCTATGTAAAAGGAGTGAGGTCGACGTGAGGAGGGGCCAGAGGAGGTCATGCAACGACGGGCGCTATCGTCAGTAGCGGATTCTGAACAGTCCCGCGAGGGAGAAAAATTATAGGCGTCTGTGGGAGAGTGAGCGCTCCGTGGGCGCTGTGGGCGCTGTGATTTGTGTTTCTCCCGACGACGCAACGTATCCAACGGCGACAAGGTTGAGTTTGGTGAAGCGTCCCGGGCCATCGAAATGCAATAATCATGGATAGGCATGATGCCCTCGAAAGACTTCGATCTCGGGACCAATGTTTTCTCGGGGATTTGAGGAAACGCGATCACCTCTGGCTTGGAGAGTTTGAGAGTGTCTGACTGATTATCATGGTCGGCGTCATCGATGATGATAAGGGGCGAGACTGATGGCCCAGCTAAAGGTGATGAACGTAAAGGCTTCCTTCCGGGTGTTGAGCTAAGACGCCGAGATGCGAGAGAACCATCGGAGGACAACGTGATGGAAGGAATTTGTAGGGGTTTTATGAACGGTTCGCCAGCGTTGTTCGCTGTCAAGTCTACGATGGGAAGGAGCTACACCGCAAACCATTGAGTCAACCATCCTTAGTAGTAGGACGTAGCTTTGAAGACGTACTGGACGAGAATCTCTAAGACCCTGTTTATTGGAGGACGATAGCGTCGCTTGCAGCATCTTGCATCAAGGTGGGGGGGGGGGGGGATGTTGGGAAGGAGACGTAGGCGCGCAACACCCTGTGCCTCTTTATTCAGCGTGATCGAGAGACCAAATTATAGCTGAAGATTGCCAGATCTGAAAGGCCAAAACTGACCCTGCAGGTTACTTAGGTAACTCTGCGGCGGGATCACCCTGGGGCCTGCACCATGACAGATTCCATATCTATTATCAACACTGTGACAACTTTCGATAAGCGACTCATCATGAAGAAAGCGGGAGTCAGTGCATGGCACCTGTTAAGAATGCGTCATGCTTGAAGCTTGAGAAGTCAAGGATCTCAGATGATCTCGGCGGATGGAGATGAGCGGGAAAACAAATCTCACCCTGACGCAGTCAAACAACCTCACAGTGACGGCGCGATGATGTCGAAGATGAGTCTGCCAATCGTACGAGTCTGAGGTGCATAGGAAGACCTTCGTCCAACCTATGTGAGTCCTTGAGGCTTGCCTAGAGGCTGACTTACCAGGATTGAACTGAAGCACAATATCCAGTGAATCAGGACGAAGATTAACGGATGAAAAATGATGCTTTGCCAACTTTCGACTGCTTGCAACCAACCATTCTCTGGGTAAATAAATAGTAACAGAATAGACCATGGAATCTGTCAGTGAGATGCCTTCTTCCCTAAGGATGAAAATCGGATTATCAGCAACTTCCATAGATAGCAGAGGGAAGAAGTTACCACTCTGCTAGAGGTAGCGATCTATGTACCGTCGACAAACATATTCCGCGTGGCAGAGGGTAACGTCGCAGTAAGTCCGTCAAGCTCTCGTGTAAGCTTAACCTGACATCCTAATCGGCTGGTATCCGTGAGGCCGAACGCCATGTCGAGCATGTCGTTCTCGTCGTCTTCCGGTTCGGGTAGGAGATCATAGTACTCCGGTGGTAGGATGACATGGCAGGTGGAGCAAGCTACCGAGCCTTCGCAAGCTCCTGAGGGAAGGCGTAGGTTGTTGAATGGGGATCACGGATGAAAAATGAGTTATGATTCGGTTCTGAGATCGATAGGTAATGACCACGCACCTTCAAGATCTATATCGTACTCATGGGCCATGGCTAGGATATCATCACCTTCGTTGGCCTCCACCGTTTTCAGTAAATTCCCCTTTGAGTCCTTAAAATAGACTTTAATGCTGCGAAGATGCCCTACACAATTAGAGCGATGGTAGCGGAAATGGAGGAACGAAGCGCACCCAGTACCAGGCGGTGGTCTATTGATTCCGGAGTGTTGGAAAACTGCAAAACGCCAATGAGTTCGGTACGGTACTATTCCCGATAATTCTACAAACCTGCCGACGTATGAAAGCTACGCGTCCTGCTGGACGAGAATTTCGACCTGCCTCTTCCGTTCCCCTTTGCGTTATTGGACGGTGATGTCCGTTGCGGTAGACTTCCTAAGTATCGCCGCAGCAGGGTAAAGCTTGGTGTCATCAGGGAGTGAAAGCAGCAACACGTGATTTCGGTCTTTCTCAACCTGCTTGTGCTGCCAATGTGCTGCTTCCTGTCAAGTTACGGTGCTCGGCTCCTGGAGGAGCCACGGTTGCCCGTTTTATGAAGTACGATTCTAGAGGCCACCCTCAGCCACTCTCGACGGGAACCGTGCTCTTCCATCCCCTAATGTGCTTTTCGCAGAGGATTCGCCGTATAAAACCGATTGCGCAACATCTTCCATTTAGGCGTGCAAGAGGATCGCCGTCTTGTGGCCTACGCAACTTGATCTCATTGCAGTATTCCGCACTTGCCACCGAAATTCACTCCAGGCCGCTCAACCTTCAACCCTCCGACCCACGAAAGTGTTATCGCATCTTCTCGACTCGGCATGCCGCTCCAGATTTTTGACCTTTCATAAGCAAAAGTTTCAACGTCCATCTCCAGCCGCCGCGTCGCCTACATGTGCCAAGTGAACAAAAAAGGTTCCGAACTTTTCCGTCTGTCGTCATCATGCCCTCTTCCTCGTTGTGGTCCATCCGCAAAACCGAGAGGACGCGGTATATTTGAAGGGAACGTAGCGATGGAAGGGGAGGAAGTGGGCTCTTTGACTAGTTCTGCGCTCTGGTGAAGCATGGCGTACGTCCTTTTCTCTTTTCACCCTTCTCTTTTTTCCAAAACACGTTCCTGACACCGGCATACAGACCCACAAAGTTCACCTCGTTCTCATTCCTCATGCCCTCTTCGATTCTTTCCCACAAGACGGGCAAGGGCTCATTCCTTTCCCCGACCTTCTCTTCCCTTCTCCTACCTGTGACCAGCTCTGGGCTGCTGTACAAGATTCGTCAAATCCGCTCATTACCTTGAAAACAAGTACTTGGTGGTCGACTCTGAGCGGCCGAGCTGACCGCAGGCCAGAGTAGAATCCTGCCGTTTGTGCTTACGCCGTTCTTGCTTGGATTGAGGATGCGGTCCCGGGAGATTGGGGGTGGCGATTAAGAGCGATGGTTGTCTCTGTCGGTGGCGAAGTTTTTGGAGGGCGCTACGCCCTGTGTCCTTCTAGCAGGTGTAAGTACGATACTCTGCTGCCCTGGTTCTTTCATCTTCCACCATTCAACTTCCATTCCCTGTAGCCGCTACCTTTGCTTACATTGGTGATCGACGGGGGATTTGACGAACCTCTCCTACCCTTTCAGTTTCTAGATGGAATTAAGGACGGCAGTAAACAATCTCTGTGCTGTGGAGATCCTATCTGCAATGTGAGTCTCTTGGATTATTCCCCGATGATACGAATAACAACATCCCTTTGACAGAATGACTACCCTTATCAACCTCCGGATTCTTGAAACGCCTTTTGACCCCCACTATCCTCTCTTCCCGTGTTACGAGCAAATGTGACACTGGTCTCCCTGTTGATCTCAGTTTGCTAGGCCATTCACACTCACAACAGGACACCTGTGGTCCGTCTTTTTGGTTCTCCCTTTCTGTCCTGACTCATGCATGTATGTTAGACCCACGTTATGGTCTCCGCTCTCAGCTGGTCATAATTCACTCTCTCCGTTTGTAGGGTATGGAAGTTGGTCCATCTTGGGTTAGCATTTCTTTGAGAGGTCGTAATACAACTTACTGCGCAGAATGTACGCAACGCCCATTGGTATCGTGTACAACTTCTGCGCTACTTATAAAACATGAATTTCTGCTCCAGTATCAATCAGATATGCGCGACAGAGGTTGTAGACGAATGAGAAAACATTGACCGGTTCAGCGCTTGATATCGAGTCAGCGCAGGTGACCCACTTTGCTACCAAAAAAGTTACAGGGTGCGGAGAAGGACGGGGGGAAAGATGATGATAAAGGATCTAGCAATGGTTTAAGTCCACCTCGGTACCAGTGCCCAATCAGCTACAGCAGAATAACCACCTTCTTGGATGGCGACACTCTAGATATAAGGAATCCCACTTCTTGGCCCGGAGGAAGAACGGTTTATGAGCACGGCTCCTCGGAAGAATAGCTTGGACATGATGTTGGGACGTTGGAGGTCAACAGTATTCCAGCCATCTTGGTTGGGTAACAAGACGTTTGGCTGGGTTTCCCTTCCCTGTGCGACTTGCTGTTAGTCCTGCAAGTCATAGAGATATCAATCAGGAATACCAACCTGCGGCGAATGTAGGCTCGATGTATGTAGTCTAGCTGCAGGTGGAAGAGTATAGTGGCCCGGAATCGCCGCTCCTGGAGGTACCGCTGCGTACGTCTGATTTCAGTAGGAATTAACGACGAATGAAGGAGACCCACACGTCACAACGCAACAGGGCTTTTTTCCCTCCCAGCGGCTTCCTACTAACGCTCCCACCAATCCTCCCCTACGTCGCCGAAATGAACGAGAGCATATGGACGAATGAGAAGCGAGATATGGCTGCAAGTCGCTCAGGATAACCGAGAGACGACGCCATCTGCTCTTCGCGATCGGCCATGAAGTCGACGAAAACTTGGTGAAGGATATGGTGGAGCATGGCGCGTAAGACGTCGAGAGTCAAAGTAGCACAGAGACCTAGTCGGTGACTTATTAGCTGACCATCTCTTCAAAAGTTTCAAAGAGGTTATAAATGCTTTACGTACCTGGCGCCACATGCCAGCAGTACTTTGAACCATCGGAAACGCGGACACGTGAAGAGGAAGGCCCGCTACTAAGAAGAGTCGGCAGAGGGCAAGCAAGCATCTTCCAGCCAGCGTTCAGACTTTCGCAACCTAAGGGAGCCTCTTGTGTAGGTGAAAACTTGTCGTAGTTTACAGCTGCAGTCGATTAGCAAAAGAAGAGTCAGAAGGGATAGAGCGGCGACGTACTGAACTATCCAGCCCCGTGTATGCAGCAGCAGGTGGATTTCGTCTGCGTTGTGGAGTGGTGCCAGTGTGGCTTCTCAGTAACGAATGAACGGACGAAGGGGGAAGATCCGTATGCTGCAGCAGACATGCGTGGTTTAGCTTGCTTTTCGTTCACCATACATCATACTTCTTGTGCTGTGGAAGGACGTGATTTGCGAGTGCAGTGGTCCTGTTTGTTTTGTGGGTGGGCAATGGAACAAGCCTAACACTTTGATAGCGAAAAGGGGGTAACTCTATTTGAGGAGGGTGTCAATTTGCGCACAGGTAGATCCGTGCTTTAGGGTAGAAACTGGCCTTCGATGGTAACGTAGAGCCAGAAGATTAATATTACTTGCCGTACTACTTATGTTCATAGTGGTCACATGACTACAACACACTGCAGCACTGTGCCAATTGACGCTCTAACCATTCCTGTTATCAACCACCATCATCATGACCGCAAACGAGACTATCAGTACCAACAACACCAACAATATGAACATTACAGGGTTGAATCTTGCGGGAAACGACCTTCTGCAAGCGATCAGCGTAGGTGGCCTTCCTGCACTCGAGGTTGTCGCTGCGTCTGGCGACACCTTTCCACCTCTGAAGGCGGCTGTCGTTGAGGCATTGGCCATAATCGGAATCGTCAAGGTGTGTATCCTTACTGTAATCATTCCGCTACGTCTATCTATGTGATGGCCACAGAAATTCAAGATCAATAAGAAGGATTGGGCCGCTTTTTCGGGGAGTCTCATTCGGAAGGTCGAGGAGATTGTTCAGGCTATCTGTCAATACAACGAGAGTCGAATTCCATTGACTTTGCAATCAAATGTTGAGAATCTGAAAGGGTGCGTGGTTTTGACAGCTTTATTGTGGAGAATTCCTTGATTGAAGTCATGCACTAGCATTTTGGATCATATGAAAGAAAATGTGATGAAGATCCAACAACAGACCTCATTCAAGAGAGTAGCCAATTTTAGAAAAGATCCAGAACAAATTGAGGGATTCCAGGCCAGGCTGAATGCACTTGTAAGCATCATGAGGTTTGATGTACATAAACTGTTCTAAATCATCACATTTGCTTGATTATTCAGCCTAACTTTCAGGCCTCTCTTGGGGTTGGTGTCGAGGGAAGTTTGCAAAAAGCAAGTAAGTCAAGTTGTAGATATTTAACTTGATATTCTTTCTTAAATTGTACAGATGCCAAGGAGAGGGAGATTTTGGAAGATACTAGAACACCAGAGGCCACCAAGGCTATCAAGAGGGAGAATATTGTTGAAAGGCCTGCAGCTACGGAAAATGGTATGTACACACTTGTACCCCAATACTATTGCTTGATAGCTTATTATTTTTTTCATGAAGTACCTCAGGTAAATGTGCTTAATCAGGCACATGATTTTCAAATCAATGATAGTGTATTCAATTCTGCAAATACTGTAAGTGATTGACTTGTTTAAAATGCCTCTTCTCAAAACCATTGATCTACTATAGATCAATATCAATGACAACAGGGAAATTGAAGCCAAGATAGCAGATGCAGCAGATCAGTTAAAGGTAAGTCAAAAATTTATCACCAGCTTATATCATCAACAAACAATACAGGTGGAAAAATGGCTGCAAGAGCTTAGAGCTCCATCACATGGCAAAGTAAGAGAGAGATGCATGCCTGGAACCTGACTGGATGTGCTTCATGATATCCAAACATGGCTTGATGATCTTGATATGCATAACATCTTCTGGCTTTCTGGCAGTCCTGGTTCTGGAAAGACAACAATTGCTTCAACTGTGGTTGCTGGCTTTCACTGTTTTTCTGGGCAATTTTTTTTCCACCGTGATGAAGCTGAGCTTCGGGACCCAGATAACTTATGGAGACGTCTTGCTTTGGACCTTGCTCTAGGATCCAATGATCTCAAAAAGGCTATAGCTCAGGCACTGGAGACTCAAAAAGCTAACATCAGAGGCTTTGATATTTCTATGCAATTTGAGCACTTTATTGCCCAGCCACTAGGGGAGGTTTTTAGAACCTCAGAAAAGGCTCTTCTTATTGTTATTGATGCTCTTGATGAGTGTGATTCATATGAGAAACTCTTGCCTTCATTGACATCCTGGTCTTGCCTTCCTAAATCTTTGAAGCTCCTCATTACAAGTCGCCATTATGGTGATATTTGGTCTTCACTAGAATCTGTCAGTGTTCACCATAATCTACATACTGGACATGAGATATCTACTCAGACTTCTGATGACCTGGAAAAATACTTTATTGCAAGATTTTCTCAGGCAACTAGGTTGCCCCAAAATTGGCCTGGTCCAGCCAAAGTATCACTTCTTGTAAAAAAAGCTGCTGGGCTGTTCATTTGGGCTAAATCTGCAATGGACTTTATCTTGCATAAGGGAGGTGATCCTGAAGAGAGGCTAGATATCATTTCTGCTGGCTCTGGGGAAGGAATTGATGCTGTTGACAGCTTGTATCATCAGGTCATTTCTGTTGCTTTGCAAGGTCTCAGAAAATCAGAGGAAACAACATTAAGATTGGTTCTGGGTTCAATTGTTATTGCAAAGAATCCACTTCACATTGAAGACCTAAAAGATCTTCTGGAAGTCAAAGATGCAATGCTAAATTCAATAATCAGTCAACTTAGCCCAATTCTATCTATTAGTGATGCAAGCTATTTGCATGTTTGTCACCAGTCAGTTGCTGATTTTCTGCTGGATCCAAAGAGATCCAAAGATTTTTGGATAGACGGTCAACTGAACAGTCTCTGCTTTGCTGGCTATTGCTTGAAATTTATGAATGCAAACCTAAAATTCAACTTCTTTGATTTAAAAACATCCTATGTTCTGAACAAAGACATGCCAGAGTTGAACGACCATATCAAGAAAGTGAAATCTACAGCTTTGGATCATGCAAGCTACTTCTGGGCCAGCTATTTGCAGAAGAACTGTGATGAAATGATACACCTGAAAGTACAGGCTGCAGTGGAGGAATTTTTGATGGTTCATCTTTTACACTGGCTTGAAGTTATGAGTCTGATGGAAAGAGTGAACCATGCTGCTCAACTACTGTTGTTAGCTGCAAGTTGGATTAGAGTAAGCTATGCATATATGAAATTTACTATTATCCTAATACAAATTACAGGTTTTGAAGCCCAGCTTATCTGACTTTGCAAATGATGCAAGTAGATTTGTAATGGAATTCCTGGAACCAATATCTCTTGCAGCGCCACATATATATTTGTCAGCACTACCATTTGCTCCACAAATTTCGAAAGTCTCTATACATTATATGAAGCTATTTCAAAGGACATTGACTGTGAAGATGGGTCAAATGGAACATTGGTCAGAAAGATGTGTTCTCAGACTTGCAGACCATGATGCTAAAGTGACTTCAGTTGCATTTTCTCCTGATGGTAGGCACATTGTTTCTGGATCTTGATGATGAGACAGTTAGAGTGTGGGATGCTCAGACAGGTCAGAGTGCCATGGATCCTCTCAAAGGCCATGATGCTGTGTTAGTTCAGTTGGATTTTCTCCTGATGGCAGGCACATTGTCTCTGGATCTGATGATGAGACAGTTAGAGTGTGGGATGCTCAGACAGGTCAGAGTGCCATGGATCCTCTCAAAGGCCATGATGGTAGTGTTAGTTCAGTTGGATTTTCTCCTGATGGCAGGCACATTGTCTCTGGATCTGATGATGAGACAGTTAGAGTGTGGGATGCTCAGACAGGTCAGAGTGTCATGGATCCTCTCAAAGGCCACTATGGTGGTGTTACTTCAGTTGGATTTTCTCCTGATGGCAGGCACATTGTCTCTGGATCTTGGGACAAGATGGTTAGAGTGTGGGATGCTCAGACAGGTCAGAGTGTCATGGATCCTCTCAAAGGCCATGATGGTATAGTTACTTCAGTTGCATTTTCTCCTGATGGCAGGCACATTGTCTCTGGATCTTCAGATGAGACAGTCAGAGTGTGGGATGCTCAGACAGGTCAGAGTGTCATGGATCCTCTCAAAGGCCATCATGGTAGTGTTACTTCAGTTGGATTTTCTCCTGATGGCAGGCACATTGTCTCTGGATCTTGGGACAAGACAGTTAGAGTGTGGGATGCTCAGACAGGTCAGAGTGTCATGGATCCTCTCAAAGGCCATGATGATACAGTTACTTCAGTTGGATTTTCTCCTGATGGCAGGCACATTGTCTCTGGATCTGATGATGAGACAGTTAGAGTGTGGGATGCTCAGACAGGTCAGAGTGTCATGGATCTTCTCAAAGGCCATATGGTGGTGTTACTTCAGTTGGATTTTCTCCTGATGGCAGGCACATTGTCTCTGGATCTTGGGACAAGATAGTTAGAGTGTGGGATGCTCAGACAGGTCAGAGTGTCATGGATCCTCTCAAAGGCCATGATGGTACAGTTACTTCAGTTGCATTTTCTCCTGATGGCAGGCACATTGTCTCTGGATCTTGAGGACAAGACAGTTAGAGTGTGGGATGCTCAGACAGGTCAGAGTGTCATGGATCCTCTCAAAGGCCATGATGGTTGGGTTACTTCAGTTGCATTTTCTCCTGATGGCAGGCACATTGTCTCTGGATCTTGGGACAAGACAGTTAGAGTGTGGGATGCTCAGACAGGTCAGAGTGTCATGGATCCTCTCAAAGGCCATGATGGTACAGTTACTTCAGTTGCATTTTCTCCTGATGGCAGGCACATTGTCTCTGGATCTTCAGACAAGACAGTCAGAGTGTGGGATGCTCAGACAGGTCAGAGTGTCATGGATCCTCTCAAAGGCCATGATGATACAGTTACTCCAGTTACATTTTCTCTTGATGGCAGGTACATTGTCTCTGGATCTTGGGACAAGACAGTCAGAGTATGGGATGCACAGACAGATCAGAGTGTCAGGGATATTCTCCATGGCCATGATAATCTTGTTACTTCAGTTGGATTTTCTCCTGATGGCAGGCACATTGTCTCTGGATCTTGGGACAAGACAGTCAGAGTGTGGGATGCTCAGACAGGTCAGAGTCTCATGGATCCTCTTAAAGGCCATTATGGTACAGTTACTTCAGTTGCATTTTCTCCTGATGGCAGGCACATTGTCTCTGGATCTGAGGACAAGACACTCAGAGTGTGGGATGCTCAGACAGGTCAGAGTGTCATGGATCCTTTCAAAGGCCATGATGGTATAGTTGCTTCAGTTGCATTTTCTCCCAATGGCAGGTACATTGTCTCTGGATCTTGGGACAGGACAGTTAGAGTGTGGGATGCTCAGACAGGTCAGAGTCTCATGGATCCTCTCAAAGGCCATCATGGTACAGTTACTTCAGTTGCATTTTCTCCTGATGGCAGGCACATTGTCTCTGGATCTCAGGACAATACAGTTAGAGTGTGGGATGCTCAGACAGGTCAGAGTGTCATGGATCCTCTGAAAGGCCATCATGGTACAGTTACTTCTGGTGCATTTTCTCCTGATGGCAGGCACATTGTCTCTGAATCTGGTGACAAGACAGTTGAGGATACTGAGGTAGGTCCAGCAATTACGAATCCCTTCTCAGTGTCTTGTCTTTCCCCTTGTGCCACTTCAAGAAATCCTGTTGTACTGCCAATCACCCCCATACATCCTGATAATGGGAACACTCCCATATCTGAGTTGCATAAAACTTTTTTTTGTGATCCCTATGGTATACCATTGTTAAAATTCTGTCATCATCAAAAAAATTGGATCATGCTGACAGATAATACCTATCTCCTATGGCTGCCACAGCAAAATAAATTTGGTTTGTTCTGGCCAAGAACAACTACTGTGATTGGTTGCAATCCAACTTTACTTCAGTTCAAAAACTTTGTTCATGGTATAAACTGGAGCCAGTGTTTTTCATCATTAAATGATCACATTTAAGGACCTCTACATTCCATAATCTGGTTCCAGCATTTGTGATATTTCATTCATCATTGTGTTTCATCACCCTCCTGTTATTTACCACTTTTATAGCTTTTCATTCATTACACAACATATCACAAACATTATTATAACATCCCTATTTACCACGTTCTCAACTTTGACTGGCTACTTCTATCTTTTGACCCTTGAAATGAAAAGCAATGAAAAATTAATGGGCAATGCCTCTGATAAGGAAAAATATTACAATTTACCTAGCACAGGTATTTTCCTTTTGAAAGTATTTATTATGATTACACTGGATGTAAGCCACATTAACTTGGACCAAATTATTGTAAAGAAATTCCAAAACATTTTATGGTAACAATGTCTGAAAAATTGTAAAGTTATTGTGAATTTTCTTTGACAAACAATAGTATTATCTAAAGAAAAACCACAATAATCTTACACTTTTTCAGGCATTGTTACTGTAAAATTATTTTAAATTATTTTACAATAATTTGGTTCAAGTTAATGTGGCTTGCATCCAGTGTCATACAGGCACTAAGTTCTCATGATCAAAAAGTGGATATAGACATAGTAAGAATATTTCAATTTTATGGTTATCACTGTGATATCATCTTGTCCCCATCTCAGGTTTTTGACAAGCAGAGATTTATTTTAATAGTTTATTGTTGGTCTACTGTAGGCCTTTGTACATATCATGGCCTACAGAGCTAATAAACCGATGTTGATTTACAAAGCCCACATAGGCTTTGGAAACACAGCCAAACCATGAGCCTCTGATGAGCAACTGTCAATGGGAGTTGAGAATCACTGGCATTGATGCTATGAATAGATGAATGAGACATTGATACAAGGGATTCCAAGTGTTATTCCACTGGGGGGCAACAGAGTTTGGCTATGGAAGATAGCCAGATGTCAGGTGACTTAGGCTGACTTTTTTTCCTAAGAATTCCTTAGGATATCTATGAGCCTAAGACCCATGTTGATGCCATCGCACAGCACTCACTGATGCTTGGCTGTTCCTTCATTGTGGGTCATGGCTGACTGGGGGCACGCCCTCTGGACCCAATGTACACATCTTTAATCCCAGTTTCAGTACACAGCTTCCATCCCAATTCCCATGTACATTTTTAATTCCAATCTTTATATGTTTGTGTAAATTACTGCTACATCTACATATATGATAGATTTTGTATCACAGTTGTTAGTGAGAAAGCTTTCTGAGGGTGGTTCATTGAATTACAATCTCTGTATGTGCCAAGTCCAAAGCCTGTTGGGCAGTGCAGCCCCCAACCCCTGCCTTCAGATGAATAACTGGGTTGCACCAACAACATAGGTCATAGCAGGCTGGGGGCAGGTTCTCTAATCCCAGTTTTTTCAAATTCCACCTTGCAAAATTTAAATTGGTTACTTCAATATATAGCTTTGAGAGGTGCACATGAAGATCCAGGAGCTCTTTACACTCCTCCACCTATTCCTACTGGACTCCTGGATCCCTACCAGACTGGACTAGGACTGGGACAATTTTTATGTTGGCTGATCACCATACAAATTTTGTGTCCCAGTCCTAGTGGAGTCCTGGTAAAGTCCTACTGGAATGGTCCCAAACTACTAGGAATTGGTATAGTGGAGTCCAGTACTAGGAGTCCACTAGGAGTCTAATAGAAATTTCCAAGCACAAGAAGTCCAGTAGGACCAGTAGTTTGTCACTGTTGTTGTTATAACCTGTGATATAGGATTGGAAGGGAATGCCCAGAGGCCATAGTCAAACAGTGGTATATAGCTAGATTTGGATATCTTACATAATATATTGATCTTTTGTCTTGAACCACCATCTTGTCAGCAGTCTTGCCATCCTCTTGCACTACATGTAGTGCTTTGTATATCTGTACTTCCTACAGTATGCATAATCATGTTGGGCCAGCTGAGTATCTTGTAACTGCTCATTGCTCACTTATGGGTGTTGATCCCAGATCCACCCATTCTTGCCTCCTCCTTCCCTCTTGGCTTCAGCTATGCGAGAAGTTCAGAGTGAACGCTTCACATAACCACATAGCATGCCTGTGGGGGCAAAACCTGATATGGACTTTCCTTCTTTGCTTGTCATGATCTTTCCTTCCTCAAGTCGGTGATTGAGTTCAATTTGGTTTTGCAGATTGACTGTTAAGCAGATTTACCTGACGACTTGGATGGCATAGTACCACCTTACATACTTGAAGGGCTTTCTCTTGTACCACATCACACTTGAAGCTTTGGTCTTACGATTCCCTCCTATCTGGTTTTGCTCGTCCTGATCTTTCCTTCCTCAAGTCGGTGGTCGATCTGGATTTGGTTTTGCAGATTGATTGTTAAGATGATTTGTGTACTTTACCCTCCCCCACGGATTCCAGATGGAGTCCACATGGGCTCCATAATTCCATCTGGGCTCCATTTGGAAAAGACCTCACCCTACAATTTTGTTGAAAATCCATCTGGACTCCACATGGACTCCACCTGGAATCCAAGTGGCCTCCAGATGGATTTGATCACAGTTTCAACATGGACTTTGCCTTGTTCAAATTATGGCAAGTCCCAACTTTAGCCAGATGTCAGGTTACTTAAGAATGCTGATAAATCAATATGACTTTTTATGATATTTCTATCTAATCATGCAAGGGTGGAAGAAGGTCCGTAATCTTGAGTATAAATGAAAGATAATAGGCAAACACAGGGTTGCCTCAATGTGAGGGCAACCTGCGAGAAATGTATATTATGGCCTCAATGTCCTATTACCTATAAATGTTAATGAGGGAAGGGGAAGGGGGGGAGAGTATGTAAGTGTCTTTTGAAAAAGGAAGAAAGAAGTTGAGTGGAGTGGAGTGGAGCAATGTTTGTGAGAGGCCAGGATAAAAATCTGAAATAGTACAATTCAGAGAGAAAATAGTCCAATGTTAAATGAAAAAAGTCGATAAAGCAAACGGTCGTAGCTGGTTGGTGGGCAGGGTGCCCAAATAACATAGCTTGGAGAAGAACAGGATTCTTTCTGATGTAGATCTGAAAGGTATCCAATGCCCATTGTCCAATTGCTTGAATGATGTTGGGAGGTACACCAGCTTCAGCAAGGGAAGTGGCACCTCCAGCATGCATAGATTGACCTGCAATATCAGCAGGGAAGAAACAGCAGAGTTGTTTCATGAACCAGGAGTGGGTTGGCACACTGCCAGACTCACACAACCAAAGTTCAGGTTTTAATGGGTGAAGGGTGTCTCGTGATTGAAAGTATGATGCAAAAAATGAGTATGGGTTGGTTGGGAGGTTTATCTTTTCAATAATAATCAGGTTTCCTTCATAGAAGCGGTTGGCCTTGTGGCCATGCAGCCAAAATGAGTAGGATTTTTCAGTGATATTGACGGTGTGCCGCAGAATGACTTTCTGATAATTGCGCTGTGCAACTTTGTCTGGGAAGGTAATCTCTCCAAGACACATGAGGCCATGGAAACCTGTCTCTAGCATTGAGAGGAATAGTTTGTCATCATGACAAGTTGAAGATCCTATGGCAGAGATGACAGTTTGCAGATCGGTGGTTGACAGTGGGTGTTTTCGTTTTACAGGAGTTCCAAAGTGGCGTTGACATCCTGTCATAGTATGCAACACAAGCATAGAGTTGCATCGAGGTTGACTGTGTGACCTGCAAGAATGTTCGTCCATTCTGAGTCAGGGAATTCAGGACATGTGGGTGAGTTGATGAGAGAACACTTTGTGCCCTTAGGGTCAACTGCATACAGTTTGAGGAGGTCCAGCGTAGCTGTGAGGGAAGGGGATAAAATGACCGAATGGATGAAATCTGATATAATCCATGGGTATTGAGACTCATCGGGTTTTGCATGTTTAGTTGGGCGAGATAGTTCTTCTTCATCAATCTGTTGTTCAATGGGTGATTTTGAACATTCCCTGTTGCCATGGCGTTCGGCTTTGGACAAGTGGTGTTCATGGTTTTCAAGGATGACAATATAGTGTGCAAAGGCATCTTTGACTCCTGTCTGGTCTTCAGGTAATGTGCCAATGAGTGTGGTGTAGATTCGGCTGAGTGCTGTGGCTTTCGAGATTTGTGAGCCACAGAAATCTTTGATTGCCTTGTTGCAAGCAGCAAGAGCAGCGATAGAAACTGGGACATTCCCAAGTGTTCGATTTCGCATTTGCTCAGATTCCAGAGACAAGGATTGGCGATTGCCAGAACCTCATTTGATCCTGTTGTCCACTTGCACCATTGTTACCACCTTGAGTAGTGTCGTCGTTACTACCAGAAATAGGAGTTCCAAGCAGAGTAGGAGTTGCATCAACAACATTGCCAGTAGACATGAGATGAAATAATGAGGATTTGATCTGATGCAACTAAGAGTTGTAATGTGAATGGAAGATACCGCTACCTCAGAAGGATGAGGTAGGAGGAAGAGAGAGGAATGTTCAACTCTGCTCAACCTGACTCGCTGGTCTCAGAGACCAGGAATATCTCAGGGAGAGGAGATGTGTTACCTCCCCTAGGCACCTGTGCACCTGATTATACTACTGTAAAAATAATTCTAAACTCGATTAACAAGTAAAATTCAAGTATATTTATTTATTGAATAGAAGTACATAAATGTATTTTACTACTTTAAATGTTGAAGAGAGGGGGGAGGGTGTGATGGAAAGTGATGGAGAGGGAAGTGGTAGGGAGAGAGTGGTAGAGTGATGGAGGGGAAGGAAGTGAAGGAGGGAGTGGAGTGGATTGATGGAAGAATGTACTGGAGTGATGGGAGGGGGGGATGGAGGGGGGGAAACAATGGTGAGTACTCACCTGGTATCCTGAAGGGCAGTCATCTTCATACGCCAGCGGTCGTCTTCATGGGTGGGTGGTCTGCTCATTATCATATGTGGGCACTCGTTTTTGCTCATTTTCGTATGTGGGGGTCATGATCATGGACACGTTGTGGTTGTGGTTGTGTATGTTGTCCATGGGTGGTAGTCCGTGTCATGGACATGGAGGCATTGTATGTGCACGCTTGTTTTCTTATGTGCATGCTTGTTCGCGACGTGGACATGTCATAGCTGGGTGGGGCTGTATGCAATGTTCGTGGGCAGTATGCATTGTATGCATCACTTGTGGGTGGTATGTGTCGTTTGCTGGCAGAATGTGTCATGTGGGGGCGTCATCATCACTAGGGGTGGGGGTACTAGTATGAATGAAGGAATGGGGGTGGTGGGCTACTTACCTCAGTGGATGGTGATGATGTCATGCATTGTCACCATCTGGACAACATGGCATGTCATTGTCTCCATCCACCATCAATCTTGTTCAGCTGCAGGAGGTGGTGACGTGGTGGCGACACATTGATGGTTGGGGTTGTCATTGTCATGTGGTGGTGTTGTTGTTGTTGTGTGGTGGCATTGTTGTTGTTATGTGGTGGCGTTGTTGTTGTCATTTGTGTGTGATGTGCATGAATGAAGGTGGTGGGTGGTGGGCTGTGGGTTTTGTGAACCAGATGGTGGTGGGGCAAGAAAAGAAAGACGACTGGTGTTTGACCAGCATGGCAATGAACAACCAGCACGTGTAGCGTGCAGAACATGCCAAGTGCCACAGCAATATATAGTACTGGTTTGCATTGTATATTAAAGGCTGTGTGGTTGAATGGTTAATTGTGTGAGTATCTTGGTCATTGTGTTCATGAGCTTGAGTGTTCAATTCTTGCTAATGCACTTTCATTTTTTATAT